GCCCCCGGCTGCCGAAGCAGGTCTGTCCCGCAGATGGGGCCCGGGGCTGGGGCTGGGGCTGGGTGCCGGAGCCAAGATCCAGGCACCTGGGGTGGGAGGGGGAGGCACTGGCAACGCCCAGAGAGTAGCTGCTCAAGCTGTCTTGCTTCTCTCCCTCCTTCCCACCTGTGCTCCTCAAGGCAGCGTCCCCAACGAGAAGATCGCAATATGGCTTAAGGACTGTCGGTGAGTACTTCTGCCCGCCGTCTGCATCGGCTGCAGGCCCCAGGAGCCAAGATCCAGGCACCTGGGGTGGGAGGGGGAGGCACTGGCAACGCCCAGAGAGTAGCTGCTCAAGCTGTCTTGCTTCTCTCCCTCCTTCCCACCTGTGCTCCTCAAGGCAGCGTCCCCAACGAGAAGATCGCAATATGGCTTAAGGACTGTCGGTGAGTACTTCTGCCCGCCGTCTGCATCGGCTGCAGGCCCCAGCGGTCCCCTGCGAGTCCAAGGATCGGGCCCCTGCAGCACATGGCGAGGAGAAAGGGGGGTGTTGCGGCCACCTCTTCGGGGCTCACGTCCCTCCTGGTTTTATTAGGGGACGGCAGGAGGAATGACCCGTGCTGTCAGGTGCACCTACGGGATAGCGTCCAGTTACTGCAGGGGTCAGGAGCTGCGTGGGGGAGAGCCTTCCCAGTTCAGTCTTTCCAGCTTCTTTTTCTCTCTGCTTGGTGTTGACATCTCTCATACGATGCATCATCTGTCATGGTCAAGAATCAGGTTTTTTCCCCCCCTAATATTGAGCAAGGAACTTTATTAGTGCAAAGAGACAGAATGATCACAGAAGTTGCTGTATTTTCCCGTGTGTAGCTCCTTTTTAAGCCTTCCCTACTCCCTTCTGGCCTGGCTTCCTGCTCCAGAGTTAGAGAAACAAGATATCCACTCTCACATCCTCTATTTTTGTGTAAAAATCAACATTTAATAGACTAGATGTTCAAATGAGTCACCAGCTACCATTCGCCCAGATGTAATCGTGTTTTGGCTGTGCCGGAAGTTTTGTCCACTTGACTGGCTGACTTTACTGAATCCCAAGTGTATACATGCTGTGCAGTAGATTTGGATTCCCTGCGTGAGCGACTCCCTTTTGCTAAGGATGTAGTAGGGATAGCATTACTGCTAGGCTTGCCCAATAGTACCCCTGAGTTTGGAACAAGGTGATGTGCTGCTTTCTTCCATTTGCAATCCCATACGCTTTTCAGAGCTACATCTGATATTTTTCTTCTTTGCGTTTTGTCAGGACTCGGTGTTTATTTCAGTTCAGGTGAGCTGCACTCTAATAGTTAAAGATGAAATCTCAAGACTTTTTCTAGATTGGGAACCTCATTCATTTTAAGTGCAGCCATTTAAAGATGAAAGTTTACCTCTAAGATTAGCAATGCTGTTCTAATTTGTTGACCCTGTAAGCAGCTGAGCTTGGCTTACTCCATTGACAAATGCATGGCTTGATTTATAGCTCAACAGAGCTATGAGGTCTTTGTTATAAAAATCTTTTTCACAGTCTGCATAGTCTATTCATTTCTGTGTGGGGAGCTGGAAGCAACAGGCATGAAATTGTACTGTATCCTAAAAGTTCAGAGCTGACACTGTGGCTTATTGTGAGATGCTTTTTCTTCTAGAATACCCAAAGAGACAAGATGCCTTTTAAACTTTTCTATTATGTGGGCTTCAGGGGGGCATGGGACTAACCCAGCTTCAGCAAATCTTGGAAAATAGTGGCTAAAAAGTAGATCTTTGGCTAGTTAATACTAAAAAAGAAGCTTTTTTTTAGGATTCGGGGGAAAGATTCTTCCTGACACTGCTTTGTCGACATCATTCTCCCCTGTCGCTGTGTCTGCGGGAGTTTGTCTGGAACTTTCCCCAGTTCTGTCATTAACTTTCCTCAGTTAACTCCTTGGTACAGACTTCTAAAGGAGCAGTACACACATCATCAAATATGGCAACTTGCAAAGTTATTAACTAAATGCTCCAAAAGCTATATTGCATGAATTTTTTAATTTCCTAGTGCTCATTCTTGTGCTTGAGCAATAGTATCTGTTTAAGTCAGGTCACTGGGAACATGCCTGGGTTTTCTTAACAGCTTTTGCTACTGACTCATTGTGTGAACACTTAACTATTTCCTTCATTCCACAGTAAAGGAAACCAGGGTTTAACATTTAATAGAGGTAGCATGGGTTAATTAATGGGTGCTTGCATGAAAAAAATGATGGGAGTGTAAGTGTGCTGGCTGACTGTATTTTCTGTGCAAGATTAAATCTTTTCCCTCTGTTGTTAGAATGCGCAGAGCCCACTTCTTACCACTGTTGCTTTAGTTTTTATAAACTTTATAGTAAAGTTGCATATGCTTGAGCCTTAAACATTGCAATTCTGCCCTGGAGCTTAGTGACATCAGCAAATTATTTAGACTGTTCTTGTGGCTTTTGCAAAGCTCTAGTGGTTTGTTAATGTCAGTGGTTCCCTAGGATGGAAACACAGTCTTAAAGGGCTCAGGCCTCCATCCTTTGAAGCTGATGGCAAACTCCTGTTGACTGACTCCTATATTTTCACTGTGTGATAGAAGAGTCCAGAGTATGCAAAGTTTGGGCAACAAAAATAAAGCAGTTGTCTTTCTGTTTCTAGTCCATTTCATGGCCTGTTCTCATGAGTTAGCAGAACACTTTCTTCTTTGGTGTGTAAAAAACACTAGAAACAACAAACATTTATTTGTTAAAAGAAAGTGTTTCCTCCAAGTGGGGAAACAAATATTAAAAACAATCTTTTTGTTCCTAAGCTTGTATAAATCCTTACAAATGTATTAAATGTAAGATCAGATTTGATCTTCTAGTCTTAGTTTCTGCTTTGGGTTGATGTTTGTTTTGATAGTTTGTGGCAATCTTCTTTATGATGAACTGCTATAAGGTTCTGTTTTTTCAAAATACCATCAACAATGTACCATTTGGGAGGAAAGCCATTAGTAGCCATCTATGTTCACCTACACGTGTTAGCAGTTTGGAACTGTATTGAGCGAGTTTCTCTGCTTCTCATTGGCTTTGCAGAGAATAGAGAAATTTCCCTTATGTTACCAAAGGTCCTCTTATGGTTTTTAAACTCGCCTCTGCTGTTAAGTGAGCATGCACCACGCTGAGCTTATTCACATAAGACTGTGCAACATCTGGTTATTACACAGGGCTCTGACTGGTGGTCTGTGTCATGCTTTAGAAGCATAATTTTTATGTAGAGGCCTGCCTTGGTTTCTCCCTTATTTTACCAGTATTTTGAAATTATTAAAAAAGGTCACAAAGGGTTGTTTTTTTTTTTTTTTTAAAGATACACATCCCAGATCAATTGGGTGCCAATTTTACATTGACACAGAATAGAGGAAATCTTCCATCTGAACTCCTGGTTGGCTTCTGATGGCTGAACTTTTTTTTGCCATGGCCAAAAGTCTTCCAAGCCAACAATATGGTTTACTTTGTTGGAAAGTGTCTAGGAATGTTTTGTGCAGATAATTTGGGGGAGTGGAGTCCTTTAAATCCCCCAAAGAGAAGTTTGTTATTTTTTAATTTTGAGCTCAAAATAACAGAACCAACAGACTACTTAATTGCATTACAGCTGCCAAGCAGATTTTTTAAAAGCTCAGTACAACATCCTTGTCTAACTTAATGCTTTCCTACTGCAACCAATATTAGAACAGAGAAGCAAGCATGGCCCATCTGTAGCATGCATGCTACAAGTGGCATGGGCTGCCTCTGTGTGGCGCACAGCACAGAGATGGGTCAGGAAGCAGAAAACAGAGCAGCAGATTGGGAAGGAAGTGCAAAGCAGAAAACAGAGCATTCAATCAGGCTGGAGAAGGGAATGGCACTCAGGGAGAGCATGGGGATTCTTTGTGGCACACCTGCCAAAAAGATTGGCTCCTTCTGCTCTAGAGTTTGAAAAGAGCTAAGGGTAGAGTACGGTCCTTAAAGTCCATGCAATTTTGACTTGCTTGATCAAGATATGGATCAGGGGTGTCAAACTCTTATGGCCCCACAAGTCAGATGAGTAGTTTGGGGGCAGTTCATGGGCTGGATCAAGGCCCATGGACCACCCCACCTGCATGCCTAATGCAGGATAGGTGGCACCTGCCTAAGATGGTCTGGGATGTGATTCTGAGTGGGTGCTGTGGGTGGTGCAGCCTGGGATTCAGCTCCAGCACGTGCTGTAAGCAATACAGTCTGGAATCAGGTTCAGGTTAAGTGCTGGAAACAGTGCATGTCTCAGGCACTGTGCAGGGATGGTTCAGTGCAGTGAAACAAGCAGCACTAGGGGCCAGATTATGGTGTTTCAAGAGTTTGATCCAGCTCATGGGCCATGACACTCATGGTAGATTGTACAGTACTGGGTAGTTTGGGTAGGGTGGAGGGAGCAAGGTAGACATTTGCTTAGTAGTGAGAGTATGGGGTCATGGTGTATAAAGTAAATCTATTTCTCTGTTCCTGTTCATGCCTCTGGCATGCAGAAAAATGAATTATCATTATTTTGAGGTACCAAACTGGAAAATCATTTTTGATTCCTTGATCCTAGTACAATGCAGTTTATGTAAGAAAGATGCATATTCCATTAAGGTAGTATGAAGGGTGTACTTCGTAGCTGTGTTGGTCTGAGACAAAAAGACATACAAAAAACTAGAACTCTTGGTTCCAAAATGATACCTTTTATTAGACCAACTGGAAAATGGCAAGAAAATTGTCCTTTTCTGCAAGCTTTTGGGATCAAAGTCCCTTCATCAGGCTCTGGGAAAAGTGTTGACGGTACAAGATGGTAAACAGTCCCCATAGGTAGGAAATAAACTTCATTTTTGCACAGAGGGAGCTGAAGATGGATGGCTGTCCCTGGGGGTCCATGAGAGTGTCTTTTGTGAGCTGTGTTGAGTAGCTCTTTGATGTGCTGATCAGGTAGAATTCCTTCCCTGAAGGTGTCAGATGGCAGGCTGGGAGGTAAAAAAAAAACCAAACTTCCTCGTTGCTCTGCAATGAAGTTTAAAATCCAAAATGGTTAACATTCAGCATCTTCCATGTTTCAGGGGTGTACTTGATAGCCATGTTGGTCTGAGACAAAAAGATATACAAAAAGCTAGAACTCTTGGTTCCAAAATGATACCTTTTATTAGACCAACTGGAAAATGGCAAGAAAATTGTCCTTTAAGGTAGTATTGCATTTCACTGCACTACACTTTATATATTCTCTATTCTGGTTTGTTTCTGGTTTCAGTGAAATTCACGTTCCGCCCTGTCCTATTTTATACCTGCTTTGCTCGCATGACATTTCACTTAGGGTTGTAATAGGAGGCAGCTCCTTCATGTTGTGCGATAACACTCCTGGCCTTGCTCTTGGGCATGAGAATGTACTGAAAGTGCCCCCCAAATTTGCACTTTGTGTTAAGTGTAGTGTAAGGCACTTTGAATCAAACCCAGCCCAACTTATGTGCTGCTGAAAATGCTCTTTAAGAAATGTTGAGTGCAATCATGTAAAGGGCTTCTTGCACAGATAACTGCTTCTTATTTCAACTCATGCTCTTTCTCAATTTAACTGATTTTTTTTTTTTTTTTTTTTGGTAAAACAGGATAGAAAGCGGCTGTGGCTGTGTAGAAATGCGAGCAGGAAAGCAAACAGTTGGCTTGCAAGAGCTTCTTTTCTGGTAGCTGTTAACAGGCTGCAGAGGTGACAGGCTTAGTTTTTGAGAGAGAATGCCAGCTTCTCTGCTTGCTTTTACCATTCTCTGCCAACCAATGCATGCACCACTGGCTTTGTCTGTGAAAGTTACTGCCAGCAGCTTTGTGTCACTAAAAAATAAGACATACTGAAGTGGCCATCAGGGAAAGAAAAGGAGAAGAACAGAAATATAGCTATTAAAGCCAGGGAATAAAAGGCACAGTTGTTAATTCAGAACATAACACTTGCTGTAGCTTCAACAGGTTTAGTAAAATACCCTACTTGCTTTATTTAAGGGCATAAAAGTGGCATGCAATCCCTGGAGATGCGAGTTTCTCCAGGTTTGTTTTGCCACCTGGCGCTCAATCCTGTATTCGAACAATATTGTTTTAATTGGCATCTCGCTGTAACAAGATTTCCCACCTCCCTTTTTTTAAAGGGCATTGTCAGAAGTTTGAAGCTTGTTCTTTATCAAAGGGCAGTGTGTAAATGCTTCAGAGAAACAGTTTGCATTGTAAAATAAAAGTTTTGTTATATAACCAATACATAATTTTCATTATGGAATTTGGCTTTAGAACAAATAATATGCCATTCCATAATTGTTTGCTTATTTATGAAATTTTTTTTGCAACTTTTATGTTTTTATATGCATAAACTATGCATAATATAAATAAAGAAATGATTGGATTTGCCCTGTATTAATCATGTTGTTTTTTCAGATTCATATTGTATCTGGATTCAAATTGTGTTCTGGGTTTATTACATTGGGGGGAGGGGGGGTTGTTAACCATCATGGTATCCATATTAGTGGACACCATGTATTCATATTGGATAATTTAAAGCACTTGTTCATTGAATAAGTAACATTAATATCAGTCCCTCTTGATGGTGAGATTTTTGTTGTAGATTTCAATGACATCAGAATCAAGCCTTTGCAGAATCCTCTCCTATCTTTTTAGAAATAATGATTACAGATGTCATTAAATTAAGAACTTAATGTAAAGAACTTGTAAAAATATTATCTGGCACATGACTAAGACTTAAAATAGCTGTCAAGATTCTTATCTTATTTCTGATTTTAAATGTGTGTGGCTTTTAATTCTTTCTCTCCAAAGTTTAGATACCTGGCTCTAGGAATTTAGCACAGGAAAAACGCCATCATTTTTTGAGTAAATGAGTTTCAGATGAATTCCGATGCAAAAATTCTCTTGTGCTGCGTTGTTCTTAGCAGTTATATAGATGTTATGATGAACCATCATTTTATTGACAGCCTGGCTTATTTGTGCTTTGTTTGTGATTCCTGGCTTGGAGTTCATAGGTCTGATTGCTGTCACTTTTATGGGCCTGCTTTTTTTCCCCATAAAATTGTTTGTTTATAGGGCTGGAGATTATTTAGCAAGTTATTTTCAGTTCCTGTGTTTGTGCTTTCTGGGGATAGAGGGAGGAATAAGTGCTGCTATCATGAACTTGTCATATACTTTAAGGAAGGACATGAAAAAGCAGAATATTAAACTAGCATTAATCTCTCTGTGGTTTCAGAACACCATTGGGAGCCTCCCTGGATGAGCAAAGCAATCCTATGTTGAAGGGTAAGAAAAAAAAAAAAACAACAACTCCATATCCAGGAAATTTGCTTTTATTGTTAACTTTTGGCTTCTTTGTATATTAATTTGAACACTTACACTGTTTTTGAAGTGCAACTACAGTAGCTCTGTTAGTGTTTACCAGAGTTTTCTGTTCCTGTGCAGTTGTACCCAAAGAATTGGTGGGGGGGGTAGGAGGGAATAAATATGTTTTTAAACAGTTAAAAAAATCGTTAAAATGACTAATCTAATATTTCACCTTATTTGAGGCAAACTTTGCAAAAAAAAAAAAAAAAGAGCTTTTTAACATACTTCTAAAATGAAGTTGGCTTTGGGTACATTCTTTCTCTGCTTGTACTAACTGAAGTTGCCACACCTGAAAAACTTACTATATGAGCAGGGCAGAATTCTAAGGTTCAAAGTACAAAAATTTTGCAGGTAGTGGCAGAGCATAGAAATCGCACTTCGAGTGTCTGGAGCTTTAGTTTGAGTTCCCTGCTTTTACACAGAGGGGAAGAGAGGGAATGCCTGATCCAGGTCTCCTTTTCAAAGCCTGGTAAGAGGTCTGAAGTCTGACTTAATATCAGATGCAGGGTAGCTGTTGGATGTAATAGCTTGGGACTGGTAGTCTGCATTTAATTAGTTTGCAGAAATGTTGTGGAGCTGGAAACTGGAGGTATTTTATAGCCACCTCTTACTCTTACTTCTTTTAAGATAATCTTTCTGTGATTTGAATAGTAACTTCAAGTAGAAGCCTTCAGTGGATTTTTAGATTGCAAGTACTGAAGTAGTCTGGAAACATATTTTTCTTATCATACTACTGCATTTCACTGCAAATGTTTTAACTAAACAAAAGTACTGAATGAGATTTTTGAGGGGAAGAAAATATTATAGCACTTTAGGTGTTGAACTGCCAAATGTACATTTTCAGGCATGCTGATGAGAAATGGAGGAAGTTTTGAAGATGACTTATCCCTGGGAGCTGAAGGTGGGTATAGCAGGATTCTATGGCTCATAGCAGAAATAAAATGTAACATTTAGTAGTGTGATGTTGTTGTGTCAATCCTGTGGTTTCCCATCTGGTCAGAGCTGGCTAGAAAACTGTGTTGGAATTCTGCAAATTTATATCTATTTTGAAACTTTGTTTTTGACCAAATGGTTCTGACTTATCTCCAGGCCAGCCCTGAAAGAAGTTTATATGCCAAAGGAAGCAGCATACTGTTCCTTTCTCATATGCTTCCATGCCAACTGCAGTAATACAGTCCAAAGAATTTGGAAAAGGAGTGCAGGCAGTGAGGAGAATTTTTTTCCCCCCCTACTACTTGTGCTTCCTCTCCTTAGGCCAGATTTGGCAGTTGGGCATGCGTGCCTCACTTCCTTTGAAATCAGTGGGACAAGCTCTTGCATGTTTTTGAGGGCCAAATAGAGTGTTAAGTGCTCAACTTGTAATAATTTAGAGTAATAAAGAGGGACTGAGAGATGGAAGGAAAAACTAAATCAGGAGACAACAGGTAGATAAGTATATAAAAATAAAACAGCTCCCAATACTGAGATGTGACAAATTGTTCGAACAGTCTCTCTTTATTCTGACACCAATTTTGACTGTTGCTGTTGGTTCTGTAGTCCTTTTGCTTCTTTCTGCTGCCACCACCTTCTGCTCTCTCCACCTGGTTTCTTTTTTTGTGCCTTTGGGCCCCCCTTTGCACACGCAGGTGTAGGCATGATCGCATCTAATGTGTGATCCATGCAGTTGTGCCTCTTACTGTGCCCCATCTTGGGCTCCCCCTACATTGACAAGAAGCAGGCTCCCATGGCTGAGACCCCCTTTTGCTCGGGGTTGGGGGGCTCCCAGCCATGGGGTTGTGTAGCCAGTACCAAGAGTCCTGCAGCTGTTTGGGGTTCATGGAGTTAGTTCCCTACATCCCTGTGGCTTGGAGGCCACATATGTTGTGTTGCATCTCCCAGACTGCCTATATGTGCAAACTTTAAAGCTGAATAGAAACCAGCTATTAAGTTATTACACATTTTCAAGCAATAACTTTATAGCTAGTTGGACCTTCTAAAGGTGGGGTAGTTAATTTGCATTTAGTCTAGTCTAAATTTAGCACGCCATTAACAAGGGGGGCATTGAAGCAGAAGGGGATGCGATTTCAGAGAACAGACTTTTCTTTAACCTTATGATCAGTCCTGCCTTTTAGTGGCCTACATCTTTTTTTCTTAGTCAAGAACCAATGGGGAGAAGGATTTGTTGCTTTGTACCCGATTGCCTTTAAGGGTTAATCCTGAGAGCTGCAAACTGGATGTTTCATGCGTTGCAGATACCGATCAGCACCTTGTATATCTGTGCCATTCTTATCTTCAGGAAAAGATGTATAAAGATTTCATTTGCCTGGGGTCCAAATATGTGTTCAAGTTTAAACAGACAAAACCTTGCAGCTTTGAAATATTTTTGCAAAGGGCACTAAGATAGCTTTTTCTCTGTGGCTATGGGGGACAGGACTGGGAGCAATGCTCAAACTGCAGCAGAGGAAATTCAGGTTGGAGATTAAGAACTGTCTGACCTTGCGGCTGGTTAAGCATTGGAACAGGCTGCCTAAGGAAGTTGTAGACTTTCCATCCTTAGTTTTCAAGAGCAGGTTAGCTGCACACTAGTGGGTGGCTTTTTAGTCAAGGATGATCTTGCCTCAAGCAGGGGGCTGGACTAGATGACCTCATGAGATCCCTTCCAGCCCTACGTTTTATGATTCCTATGATCCCTTTAAATTTTTAGGGAAAAAAATCCCAAAACAGATTTACCATTTGGTATATGGCCTGCCCCTACTCTTGCTTGAAGACCGTGCGACCTCAGAATATCAAGACTGGGCCCTTGAAAAGGAAATCATTCCACCTTTTCTTTTTAAAGTACTCCAAAATCATGAGGAAGGAAGCTGACTTGACATTTACTTTGATTGGCTTCTCCATCAACATCACTTATTGAATTAGAGTAAATAGGATTAAAAATTTTATTATTAACAAGTTTTTCATTTGTTAGGCTTCCCGCAATACAAAGTGTTTCCCTTTTTTGCTTTTGGTACCAATCCAAGCTCTGAACGGAATTGAGGGGAAAGTTCAAAGCTGCCAAAATTGACTGAAAATATTCCAATATCAAAATATTGTTTTGAAAAATATTTTTTTTCCTTGCACTTTTCCCCTTTTGGTCCGCTCTGAAAGCCTCTTTGCAGCCCTTGCTGCAGAAGTGAAAGGGGCCATTGGTAGCCAAGATGGTTCAGTTATATGTAGGGATGGCAGGGTGCAACATTTTGTTCTCTTCAAAGTATCACCCATCTGTGCTGTGGTGGCTGTCCTGATCTTGTATGGAGGCTTGTTTTGAGAATGATAAAACTATAGCCACAGCCAATCTGTTGTTGCATGGACCCAAATACAAAATTGCATTCACTTGGGGTTCTGTATGAAGAGGAACTGTACAAAATCCAGGAACACTCAGCACCAGTGGTAAACCATAGAGAAGATCTACAAGTCATGGGTAAAAACTTCCTTGCTAGCTTCTGGAACTATGCAGCAACATGCCTATTTGTATGTGTTTGGCTTAGGGAGTGGGGTTTGGTCCTATATTGCATGAAAGATTAAAAAAAAAAAAAAAAAAAGAAAATACAGCAGGCAAGTCTTACAAAGGCAAATCTCCCTTTTCAAAACAGTCATGTCTATGTAAAGAAAGCAGGTTTGAGCCCTTAATAGTTTTTCTGTTGCATCTCACAGTTCTGTGATACTGGCTTACATGGCACAACCAGTTTAGATGCTGGATTTTTATACCAGAATATTTTTTCTGCTGTTTCACAGACTTTTGGCCATTAGGTGGCTGATTCTCAAGGCTGTTAATGTACATTTCTTGCCTATATCCTGTGACAAATTTGTTGATGTCGAGTAGTTTCTTTGGGGGTTAGATCTTAAAAAAAGACTTGCAGCAGTTGGTTGACAGGACAGAGATGTTTCTTGAAGAAAAATGTTACCACTTCAGAAAATGTCTGTTGAGCTGGCTACTATACGTACAAGATGCGAACCCTAGATTTTTACACAAAGTGACCCATATTCCCTTTCCTGAATCAAATCAGACTGGAAACAAATGTGTCCTAATACTGACAAGATGTATGACTTGGTATCTTTTATGTCCTAATTTGTGTACAACCTTTGTTTAGAGCTTGGAAATGTTCAAAGAAGCAGGGCTTTATGTTCCTGTTGCAAGGTGTGAGTAAATCTTATTGAATTAAAGAATCAGAACTAGTCTTAACCCTGAACAGTCTCTATGCATTTGTCTGAATAGACCAATTCTACTCGTTAACCACAGGATTCCTTACCCATTTCCCTGAGCCACAGACATAATGACTTTTCTAAAAAGAAAACCAAAACACTCATGTATGTCTTTTATCCATATATGGATTACTTAATAATAACTTTGCACACAGCATTTCAAACTTGTATGTTTAATTGTAGCTTGTATTGACTTTGTATACGTGTCTGTGTGTGATTCTCTGAAACACACAAGTTGGATAAAATAGAAATTTTAGTTTTAAAACAGACCATGGGAACAGCCAGCACTAATTGTTACAAAAGTGCGTGATCTCTATGTGTACACATTTATATGTAAAGCATGGAATCTGTCAGGCAGAGTGTTATCTAGGAACCTGTGTTTGTTTGCGTGAGTGGCTGCCATTTTCTTATCAACTATGAGTAGTGCAATACCAAAGAGCTCTATGTACAACATATTCTTTTATTTTTCCACAGCTAATCATCTACAAAGTGATGCTCAAATGGAAACGTGGTAAATATTTTATTTTTTGTTTGGCTTCAAATAAATGAGGTGGGCTATGTGATAGAGTTAAACTAGATAGTCTCTTAATATTACTACACTCATTCCATGCACAAATGTTTACTCCTTTAAAACAGATGTCACCAATATTACAAAAGCAGGATGAGTTTTAAACCAACTAAACTATAAATAGATCCCTTTACTTTCAGCACATTTGATCCAGATTTTCTAGTAACAGAGAGACATCTTGAGACACAGCAACTCCCTGAAAATATTTAACTGTCATAATTTACACCTTCAATTCAGGTACCCTTTTCTGTTTGCTGTTAGGGAGGAAATTTCCTGTGATTTTCAATCTTTGAGAAAAAATCTAGGTGAGAAAAATCCCATTTGGGAACAGGAAGGACTGTGCTGAAGAAGGCTTCTGAGTAATGACCTTGCATTCAAACCCCAAAGAGAAGCTCTAATAAATGTAGTCAGAAATGCAACATATAATGAAACAAGTCATCTTCTTACTCTATCCCTGTTAGATGCAATAAGAGCCCTTTTATTAATGGACCCAGGAACTCTGAGTTCCTTTGTCTTCCAGGTGACTCTTCTTCCTTCCCCTTGTACATCAGATTGCATACAAATAAAAGTCCCCAAGTCTAGAGTTAAATACCCATGTCTCCATCTATCACACCTGAAGAAGGAAAATGATATCACATGCAGAATACAGGGATTCATTTAGGGTACTGGGTAAATGTTGCAGTAGCTGCTAGGATTGCAGGGTAGTGACAGTGTAGGACTAGGGAGGAAAAGAGAGATGTGGTTTAAGTAAAGGGCAGGGTAGATTTTTGCCTTATAGACTAGCGTAAGTAGATATCTATATTTAGCACAAGTTTTCATAGGCTAAAGCTCATTTTGGGTTGGACATCCTGGTTATAGCCAACCCCATTTTCCCCCAATCTGGAAGCTGTCTCCACTTCCAAGACTTATCATGGAGGTTTGTCCTGTTTGATGTTGTTCCTTTTGGCTCACAATGCCTAACCCCTGCATTTCCAGGGGTGAAAATCTCAGTATCAGAAGTGAGGTGAAAGAGGGGCGAAGCCCAGAACAATTCCAGTATGAAGAGGTGGTCCTTTCAGGGAAGCAGGGAATACAAACCTGCTTGGGGTAAGGAGCACTGTTAACAGTTATGAGTGGGCTGCTGTGTTTGAACGAGGGTCTGAGAAAAGAAGAAAGTAGGACTGTTGAGAGGGAGATCAGAGCTTTGTTTTCTGAGCTGTCATGTGCCTTACTTTTCTCAGTCAATAACTTTGTGTCTGGAGTGCAAGGATTTATTACTACATTTGTAAAATAAAATACGGCTAATGTAAACCAGGTAATGCAGAGCAGGAAAAGAGAAATCTACCAGATTGGAGGTTTAGCTTTCCTTAAAGACTGAGAATTGAATGGTTTGAAAGAAACAGTTTATCAGAGTGGTATTGTCCACTTGCATTGACAGCAACGGTATGTTGGCCAAGGAGAAGAGACTGCAGTTCCGCCAGAAAGGAAGAAGTATGAACTCCACTGGGTCAGGAAAAAGCAGTGCAACTGTTTCAAGGTAAAAGAGAAGTGTTTTGGAAGGTGTGGCACATTTCCGTGAACTTTTGCATTCTCTTTATGGCAAGAGATGCTTGTGTTCCTAAGCTAAATAGATTTGGCTTGATTTATATGCATTTTTGTGCTTAGCTAAGAAGGGGGGATATTTACTTCTGGTCGTTTGAAAAACCTTTAATTGTGGCTTTTAAAAATACTTAAAAGAGCCCCACATTTTGGAAATGTCTAAATTTTTTTAGAAAGATTTCATTTGAAAGATCTCGAGGAGGGTGTGGGTTAGGTTTTACAAATAACAAGTTTGTATCTGAACTTCAGCTTTTTAAAATTTCTCTGATGGTTTTAACCAAAATCCCAAATGCTAATCCCTCCAAAATTTATAAACTGGGCCCATTTACTTAAAGTACACCGAACAGCCGAAGGCAAAACTTCAGTGAATCACAGGCTGGTGGTCTGAATTAGCAACTACACTGAACGGATTGTACTCTTGAGAGAGATGTAACGGGTGGTGGAGAAAACCTAAATCCATCTTTTCATTTGTCTAGTGTTTCTGAATTACTGGAGCTTTATGAGGAAGACCCTGAAGAAGTGCTCTATAATCTTGGATTTGGAAGAGATGAACCAGACATTGCTTCTAAAATTCCACCAAGATTTTTTAATTCATCATCATTTGCCAGAGGAATAGATATCAAAGTGTTTTTGAATGCCCAGATGCAGCGTATGGAAGTGGAAAATCCAAATTTTGCTTTAACAAGTAAGTGTGATTTAAAGTAAAGGTTAAGTTAAGCTTTTAAAATGGCAAATAACGTCAGCAGTCAATGTGTAGTCTAGTATTCTGGAAAGCTTTTCAGTCTAAAGGGTAGCTGTCTTTCCATTCAAAATCAGTAATATAATTTTAGTTTATTTTTAACTATACAAAGAGTTGATTATAGGTATTGTACAAGTTTTGTGTTTTGTTTTATTTTTTCTTATGGGGAAAGCAAAGAAAAGGATCAAAAGATTTTTGTCATAATCTTTTGCCTTCTGTTTGGTGTATTGCTCCTTTTGTGAGTCTGTTCTAAATTCCCTTTCATTGTAATGTCAAAACATGAAAACAAATCATTTTCAGAAGTGCTTAGCATTGACCTAGCTGTGCTCCCAGTCAATGGGAGTATTGCAATTGACTTCAATGGGTGTAGAATTGGGTCAGCATGAGCACATTCACAAATCTCACTCCAGTAATTTTAGCTTGGCTTTAAAATTGTTAGAACAAAGCTATCAATTCTACTCTTAAATTTTACCTTGTGCTTTGTTCTTATGCAGGTCGTTTTCGTCAGATTGAAGTACTTACTACAGTGGCAAATGCATTTTCTTCGTTGTATTCCCAAGTGTCTGGAACTCCTTTGCAGAAAATTGGCACCATGAATTCGGTTTCTTCCAACAAGGAGGCATCTAGCCCACCCCCTTTAAACCGCAGCAACACTGCAAATCGTTTGATGAAAACTTTATCAAAACTTAATCTTTGTGGGGCCCAACAGGCAGGGGAAAGTAGCACAATTTCATCTCCCGTTGAAAAAGGAAAAAGCCCAACTGCCCAAGAGACTGAGGAATATGACTTTAAAAATGAATCAAAATTACCAAAACACTTTAGAAAGAAAGATTCTCCATCTTTTTTGGCTACGGTAAAGGAGGAAATGTCTAATAATCAGTTCATTATTACAGACAAACTTCATGCTGCAAACCTTCCTGCTGGAGTTGGTGGTAAGCAAGATGAGACTGGATCTCATGCAGATACAAAAAATAATGAATTGCCGAGTCATCAGAACAGACTATCTGAAGAATCTGGTATTGCGGACTCATCCAATTTCAGTAGCGATTCTACTAGTAGTGAGCTAGAAAGCAATATTGAACTGCAGAATATGCCTAAACTGAAGCCTGGTAAAGAACCCTGTGGTCTTCTTATAGCAAATCCATCCATAACAAATCTAATGCTGCAGCAGAAGGATTCCTTTGAGATGGAAGAGGTAGGTGGACAGAAATTACTTCATTTTGCATTGTAATTCATATTGCACACTGTTTGTTATTGCAAGAGCATTCTCTCCAGTATATTCCACAAAGATTTCTTTGGCAACACTTTTTAAAAATTCTTAAGGTGATGAGGCCTCTTTCTTTGGAGACTTTTCTATTGCATCTTGCTGTGGAAGTGCTTCTTTTTTTCTGGATAAGCAGCATACATTTTGTACTTCTTCATTTAATTTCACTGCAGTTACTGAGAAATTTCTTTCTATCATAATTAGATCCAAGATAAAGGCAGGGTAGCAGTGTATCTTTATAGACAAACTGAATGAGAGATGCATGAGCTGTCATGCTCATTTCATGAGATGCATGGCTAAATAGCCTTCTTTGATCATAGATCCAGGATGTCTCATTTTTTCATGTATTGTATACTTTTCTGGATCATGTCTTCATATACCAGGCATGTCCCCAGAATAAATTCTCCAGCTTCAGAGTCTTCAAAAAAAAAAAAAAAAAAAAAAGATTGCCTCTTGGTGGCTCTTTATTTAATGTGGTCTAGAAACAAATCCAACTTTGTAAAATAAACTTTCTTTGCTTGAGGAAATATGGACACACAGAGTCAGGGTCTTTTTGAGAGTGCAAGATTGGAGTCCTATACATGAAAATGTTCCCATCTGGAAGCTTTTGGTTTTGATTAAGAAATCTGTACGGTGTTTTCATCAAAGTATGTCTAAATGTGAATTAAAATGTTGTAGTTGTTGACTATGCTTAAAATATTGAGTACAGCCCAAGGGCCATGCCTTCAGCAGTGGCCTAGACCCAAATTCTCTCAGACCCTGTTTACTGTTACGTTTGCCCATCTCTGTAGTGGTCTCTGTCCTGAAGGACTATTCCTTGAAGGACTATGGCTTGAAGGAAAACATCTCAGTTTTTAATCTAGCAAGACAGAAATGCGACACAAAAATGGCTACACAGAAACCTTACAATCCCAAAACTCCCCTTTGGGATTGTAACGGTGTCTAATGGAGCATGATTTGCGTAAACAGTTTTTTGTGGAAGTGTTTTTAAATCGACAGCGTCCAACATATTAACCTCTATCTTTTAATTAATCTAAAACTGGTATGTGATCATGGAAAAACTTTAGATTTTAAAAGCTATAAGTTTGAATTTTAAAAAGCCTACTGGATGAAAAATGTAATATTTATGAGGGTCCCTGGAGATTACAAGGATTGTATAATACCTTTTGTTCATGCAGAACTTGACAAATACTATGTCTAGTGCAGTGTTAGCCATGGACACAAATGAAGGTTTTGTAACTCAAGTAAAGAAGTTAGCCATTTTTTAGTATTGTTACAAACGCATAGTAAACAGTTCAAGTTCTCGAATCTGAGAAGAAAATAAGTTTTCCTCGAAGTCTTGACCTTATATAAGGTATTAGATTAAAATTTATATAAAATTAAGTGGCTTCTACTCAATTTTCCTCTGGGGTGAGTTGTACTTCGAGGTAGCACTTTGAACAAAAATTGTACAAATGGTTGTTGAATCTTTGCAAGCCAAATGGACTGAGTTTGTATAGTACTGGTTGACATAGTTGATGATGCTGGTGAATAAACACAGCTGTTTTGGCAAGGTGAAGTATAATGTAGGATCGAATTGTGTTGAATTTTGTTTATACAATATAATGTATACTTTTCAACTGTTTTCTAATTCCCAAGAGAGAGGGATTCAGTTTTGCTTAATAAAATTAGAACAATACCCGGTAGCTTAATTTTATTTTTGCATGTTTTAAATAACATTTTAATGAACAATAAATGGTATAAAAAGGAATGAAAATAACTCCTCCTACCCCCTTCCTGGTTTGGTTTGGAATGTATTCATACAAATAAGAACGATGAGAAATATATCAAGGAAGCTATCCCTATGCTTACCAACGCCTTGGAGGATTGAGCTCCATTAGGAAGTCTGTCACTGTAAAGATAGCTAGTGTGGGACTGAGTCAGAACAGGATTTCCCTCAAACACCCTCTCTCTTAAGTTAGCCAATTAGATTCACTGAAGTTTCCCTCTAACATTAATATTGGCTAAGGAAGTGGGGAGGGGTAATGATTGCTATTGTGAGTTAGTGTTGTTGGATTGCAAATACGACTGATCCTGTATCTAAGCCAAGGTCAAGAGGTGGAAGATATTTAGAAGAGAAGGGGATTGGCAGTTGAGAGGTTGAGATCCTAGCCATCAAAAACAGAAGGGAAGAAAATTAAGGCATCTTTCCTGGAAGACCAGTCCAGCCAAAAGGCCTGTAAAAATGACTTTATATTGTTTACTCTTTCTTTTAAGGTAAAGTAATTTTAGTTAGAGAAAAAAACTATTTATAGCTCTGCCATGTACTTGGCTATAAATGTAGCTGTATTTTGCAGTGTAGCAAGAACTGTACCAAGCAGGTCTTTTTTTTCCCTTTTGATAGAGGACTAGGACAGAGGCGCACAACATGTGGCCCATCGTGGTTCTTTATTAACCACTTTGTTAAACTATAGAAGATTTAAGAAGCAAAATGGTGAGTGCCATGTCCACCTTTGTGGCAAATCATTAATCCATGCACATGCCTGTATGTATAGTTCAGTTCTCCACTTGAAAATGTGCAGAGGGCATACCCTGGCTTACAGCAGATCTCGCTAAAGGCAGCCTTTCGTTGGAATATGTACCTTGCTAGTTGCCCCCGGTATAAGTTTGTGCTTCTCTGTGCTGCATGAACTATGTACTTACTGTATAAACATGTAAATAAAAAGGACAGTCCCATTCTCAAAGAACTTAGGCATGTGATGACAAGCAATCAGTGGATACAAAGCAAAAGAAAATGAGAAGTACGTGACTTAATAAACAGGGTCACTGCTTAGATGTGTTACTGAAATATCCATCTTTCTAGACATTCTCTTCCATAATATTTTGAAAGTTTAAAAGGATTGCTGAGCCCAAGGGATTGCTTAAAGAAAAACCTGATATGATTCTAGTAGAGGTGCACAGGTACGTTGGTCCGATCATCAGATCAGTACCAACATGAAGAATATTGGCTGTACTGGAATTAGTCCTGATGCGGCTGATAATTTGGCCAATAAATGCCCATATGTGCACGCAACCAGCAAGGGGCATAGCCTGGCAGCTTGGAGAGCTGTGTGCAGCTGGCAAGTCCGGTGTTGTGGAAGGAGGAGGGAAGGGGCATGGTGGGGAGGGGGGGGAGAGATCAAGGCCCCCCATGGTGAGGGGGCAGGGGCTGAGGCAGGTGCTGTCCAGCCGGGGTGTAGCAGAGCATGGGACAGCCATGGCAGTGGGGTGGGCAGGTTTCACCACTGTGCGCACCCTGGGAGGGCATGGTGAAATTTGGGGTGGCTGCAGCCCCCTCCCTGCACTACTGCCGCCTGCCCTGAGCCCAGCCCCCACTGAGAAGAGACTGGCGCAGCCCCAGCTCTAGCCCACAGCTACAGCCCTCCCGTGCAGATCCAGGGGCACATGCCTGCTGCTGGGCCCTCCCAGGGCATGCACAGCAGCGGGAGCCGCCCCCACTGACAAGCCACGGCTTAGGACCGCACCCCACCTGCAGCCCCTGCTCCCTCCCTCCCTTACCATGGGTGGCATTGATTTCCCACCCGCACCACAACAGACTTACCAGCTGCGTGCAGCTATATCAGAAATCAGATCGGTATTGGCTGATTTGCCTCCTTAAAAATCAGCTATCGGTATTAGCCCCCAAAATCTCTCTAGTGCACCCCTATATTCTAGACAAAAAAGACAGCTCGTTTAGGAGCTGCTCCTTTTAGAAGATGGTAGTGCAGGATCTTTCCCTGTTAAATTACTGATGATACCTGATGGCTAATCCTGAGCTCTCTGAGTTTAATGATTTTTGAAAGGGTGCCTGTTTCTGTGCTGCTTTCTCTTTGTCTTTTGTAATTGGAGTTATAGTGCAGAGCCTGGTCTGTGCTACAAAGGTTTGCCAGTAGAACTGGGGTGCATCCACGCTCGCAGCTCTTTTGTGGTGGCAGAATCCCTTCTTTCTGCCAGCAGCTCCACCCCCGTTAGCAGTGGTGTTTCTTGGGTTGAATTGCATGGTCTGCTGGCACAGGTGCATCAGTGGAGTGGCAAAGCCCTGGCCAGGCTTGGCAGTTTCCCTATGGTGGTGGCTGTCTGTTGACAGAGGGCTTGTAATGTAGACAAGCTAGGAGTTGAAGATGCTAAGCAACCTTTAGATTTTATATTGTTTGCAACAGGCTAGCAGGAAAGTGTTTATTTTATTCAGCGTATTATCTCTGAAATGCATTTCTCAGTTTCTGTTATCTCACAAGTAAAGCTCAAAGTGCTTCTTTTTATTTAATTGAAATTGTGTCATTTGAAACAGTAATAGCTGAGAGCCAATTTTTGCCTCATGTTTTGAAAACTCTCCAGATCCCTAGTAAGAAGCCCTTTTGACACTGGATATTTCCATTTCAGTAAGCTGGTGTAGTTGGACTCTGTCTTATGAGAAAACAGAAATCGGGCATTTTTATCAGTACTTAACATCTTAAGTCTTGGAGGCAAGCTGTGAAAGTTGAGAAGTGTGTGAAATCAGGTCAAGTGCTAACAAAGGTCTTTTTATTTAAAGAGAGGTTGTCCTTACTTCAATGACTGATTTCCCTTTCCCCCCTTGAATAAAGTTATAAATATTTGCGAGTTGCAATATCACAGGTTAAAGTAAACTGAAGGACTCTTATTTTTGCCATACACTTACTCCAATATGGTGCTGTAGTGAGTCCAGAGGTTATAACTTGCATTAAAATATGACTACGTCAGGTACTGATAAAGCATATATGTGGTAGTTTCTGTGACACTGTTACTAAATCTTTCACCCTATTGATGGTGTGGGCATGGATTCTAACTAACCAGCTTCATAAATAATGTTGCTTGAAGACTGAAGTATGAAAGGAGGATGCCTGCCCATTTCATTATCTGTGGAGAGGTATTAACTAGGCTATGAAAATTCCTTCCCAAGATTAGTTACTTTGAGAGATGTATTTTCATCACAATTAATCTTAGTGCCAGAATTTTCACAAAAACATGTTATGTGTATTCTCTTATTATGCAGTTACAGCCCAAACCCTTACTCAGTAGTCTGTACTCCTTAGCCACATCCAGACAAGCATGGCTGCGGTATGTGGCACCACAGATGAGTCTGCGGTGCCACATACTGCACAGTTGGGTGTTTCCCGTGCTGCTACCTTGCAGTGCAGGGGTTTTGTTTTGTTTTGTTTTGACCTCTAAAAAGCTCATGCAGGAAAAAGTGCATGAGGGGACAGGGGTGGTGCATGCGGGGACAGCATGTCCTGACCAAAACCGGATCCTGACTGGCTGGAGCCACACTTCAGCTGTCGGCTGGGCTCCAAGCTGCAGGAAAGATACGGCTGCAGCTTCCCTGGCCCCCAGGATCCCAGGTAAGGCTGCTAAGGCCAGCAACTGTGCTGGTCTCAGCCTCCCCCTACCTCACCCAGGGTAATGTGTTGTGTGCCAGGGGCTGTATGGCGCAGACATTCCCCAGGGACAACTAGTAGCAGCACAAGGTGTCCTGCTGCTAGTTGTCCCTGGAGAAACAAACATCCATGTTCATCTGGATGCAGCCCTCAAGTCTGATGTAACTGAGAAAATGTGATGTTATTCTTGCAGCAAAGATCATAATTGATGTAAATGTATATTATCCTCCTGGACAAACACAATTTTTAAAACAGCATAAATACTAATCCAGGGTAAAAACAGTATATGATTTGATTTTTATCTTCCTTTAGTTACAGATGCAGCTGAAAGTTGCATTCCTTTGGAATTTTGAAATTAGTCAGGCAGTACATCAATGTGGGGTTTTTATTTTTACAGTCTAGACTTGCATGCATACTAATAGATCTTTTGTGATACACAAAAGAGAAAATGTATTACGGCTTTCAAACAAAACAAAGGCCTTCCTGTTGAGATTTTGAACATATTCTTTTCATTGTTTGAACAGCCATCTGAGAATTGCTTACTTAACAACAAGTTTGTGTTTTGCACAAGTACTAAGCAATAGGATTAATTTTCCATAGTCTATAATTTTGTTTCCCATTTAGAACCACTTTCTTTTTTTTATATTGGAAAATACCAGAAGTTACTGTTTGTTTAAAATGAAAAGTATGGATTCAGTGCTGAGAGAAGCTGTTTCTCAACTTCTCCATAGAAATACTTAGCATCTGAGATAACACCCTTCATGTGTTAACCACTCGATTCACTACATTATATGAAATGTGGCAGTGTGCATCTATAAGCAAGGGACTAAAGCAGAGGTTAGCAACATTTTTGGGTAGAGTGCCAAAAATGCTCACAACCTCAACTTGTAAGATGTTAGCATGCCAGGGGCAGAAAGTAAGTCCCTTTCCCAAAGGCTGCAAAAGAATGCCAGTGGAAATGAACCATGGTAAAAAATATCTTTGCAATACAGCTTTGATTTTGTCTTAGAGTAACTAGAATTCTTGTTCTTAATATTGGCAGACAAGGTTCTTTGAGTAGATGTGGTATCTTTTATTAGACCAATTTTGACTTGCCCCACAGCCAAAAGGGACCTAGGGGTAGTGATCGAAAAATCACATGAACATGAGCCGGCAGCGCGATGCTGTGACAAGCAGGGTAAACAACATGCTGGCTTGCATTAACCATTGCATCTTATGCAAAACTAAGGAAGTGATACTCCCACTGTACTCTGCACTGATGAGACTGCAGCTGGAGTACTGTGTTCAGTTTTGGATGTCGCACTTCAACAAGGACGTGGAAAAACTTAGGGTTCAGAGAAGAGCCACCCATATGATCAGGGACTTGCAAGACAAGCCATATGAGGAGAGGCTGAGGGACTTGGGCTCTTCAGCTTGCAGAAGAGTAGGCTGAGAAGGGACTTGGTAACAGCTTACTGCTACATCAGGGGAGTACATCAAGAACTCAGTGAACAGCTGTTCATCAGGGCACCCCTGGGGAAGACCAGGACCAGTGGATACAAACTCCTGGAAGGCCACTTCAGGCTCAATTCCAGGGAAAACTCTTTCATAGTCAGGGTGCCCAGACTGTGGAATAAACTCCCTCCAGAGGTGGTGCAATCACCTACCCTGGAAATCTTCAAAAGGAGACTAGACAGTCACCTCGCTGGGATCACTTGACCCCAGTTGTCTTTTCCTGCCTAGTGCAGGGGGACTGGATCCAATGATCTACAAGGTCCCTTCCAGCCCTTAACAAGTAGCTGGAAAAAAGTTCTTGGTAAGCTTTCAGGTGCAGTCACCCTTCTTCAGGCATAGGGAGTCTCTGCTGGTCTTAATATTGTGTTCTTAATATTGTCATAGGATGGGGACTTTACATTTGTGACATAAACATCAAAATGTGATGCAGAGTTCATTATTATTCAGAACAGTGAAGATTATTACAAGGATCTTTTACAGTATTCTTTTATAGTGACTGATTTAAATGAGCAAGTTTTGATGCATGAAGAATAACTTTCTGCACTGTAAGCTGGTTAGCTTAGAAGAACTGCATATGGCTTCTGTCATTTCAAGCAATCTGTAGCACCGAAAGACATTCCATTTAGTATAAATAAATATGCAACTCTCTTCTTTTAGATTCAAAGCACAGAGGGGGAATTACCACACATTCCAACTCCTTACCAGTTGGCTTTGATCAAGTCAAGAAAAGGTGAGTAGAATTTTGTTCTATGGAGACAGTGGAAATGCCTCTTGAAGTGCTGATTCGGGTATTTAAAACTGCTAAAGTAGTAACCCTCCAAAAAAGAGCTAGATCTCCTTTCCAATTAAGTTTAAAAGCATAGAATGTTATTGCAAAGTGGCATCTCAAATTACAGGAGAGATGCAGCCCTGCAACCTCAATTAATGTTTTTACTTTTGTACCATTGATGATGGTTCAGAGAAACTGAAATGTTAATTCAGGTTGTATGGCTTTTCCCCCTCCATATCCTGTAATTTGAGATGCCCATTTAAACTAAATTATATTGTTTAAAACCTAAATTGTATAGTACAACCAGGTTTCTCCTATAGGCCACAGCTACATCTGTGGGCCGACTGCACAAAGAGCCAGTGCCTCTGCCCCCATGCGGAAGTCCTGTTTTCCTGTAATGCAAACTCTATGCACTGGATTATATAGTATGTCTACTGAGTGCTTCTGCACTGAACTATGTTATTTTATATTTTGAGTGGAGAGAGGAGGGCAAGACACATGGTTACATTTCTTTTTGCAATTGCCTCTCATACAAAGATGGCAAATGGAGTCTCTTCTCCAGCTGACACGTGTCATTAATGAAAGCCTAGACTCTGAGGAATTGAGATATTTATGTCCTTAGCTCTTGTGGAATTTGTACATGGACACCTAACCATGTTTGAACAAGAGTGCTAAAGGGACACAACTGCTTGAATAAAAATTAAAGGTATCCGTACACTTTAGGTTGCGTAAATGAGGTGGTCACCTGAAAGTGCCGTAGGATTGCAATTCAGTACAGTATGTTTGATTATGCTATAAAAAGGACTTCTGAGATTAAAGGTTGACTACTGAGGCCAACTTAATGTACAACCTGTGTTGTTTTCTTCAAAACAAAAGCTCATTTGCATTGACTTCTGGTTTTGTTCTGGGAGTAGAGGAATAGTTCTAGCTCTAACTAGCTTCTCTCCTAGCATTTGCAACTTGATTTCTTTCTCCTCAGGGTCATATGCACTCACACAAATGTGCATATGATACTTGGTTACAGTTCTCAGGCAAAAGTTCATAGCAATCTGTATGGCAGTGATTTGCATTTTTGAAGGGAGGGGAAAGAGGCTTCACTGTTTGCCAAGCCACAACTGTCACAGTCAGAGCTTTCCCAGTGAAGGAAATTCACAGGATTAGCAGCTGGAAGAGAAGGGAAAAATCCTCTCCTTTTTTTCTCCTCAAACAAATTTGTCTTTTATTTCTAAAGAAAGGCATGTCATATAGAAATGGGGGATTCATTGCTTCCTCCTCCACATGTTCCAGGAAAAAAATGTACAGTATAGCTGTGCAGGGACTTGGTCATGAAAGGTGCCAGACCGCCTCAGTAAAGGAAACATCTCTATATTGTCATAAAACTACTATTAACGCCATATAAATGATATGTTTCTCCTCCTATATCCCTCAGCCCGATTTTGTGCACGTGCTGTGTAACAATTTTACACCCATGTGAACCTTAAGCTCTCTGCTGATTTTGTTAGGGTGGTAACTGCTAGAGAGCTAAGTTTTCCATAGGAAGTCATCTGAGCCTTCGAATTTAGAACATTAAATAATTGTCAGATCTGAACTGCATTCAGTCTTACAAGCTACAACTGAAACACTGTTTTTATGGTAGTACTTTAATCCATTTGTTTCCTGTTCAACAGCTACCATTATTGGGGCTTCTTGTTTTGGGGGTCTGTTCAGTTTGTGTATTACAATGAAGGCAAACAAAAATAGGCATATTATTTTAAAGGTTGCTTCAAATCACTGTTTTGGTATTAACCGCTTAGTTGGTTAAATATTTCATCGAGAACAGAAAGTATTCCATAGCATCGTGAGCAGCTTGATGCACTTTTTAGGTTATGTCTTACAAATGGTACTTAAGTAGTTTATCAAGTATTACTAGAGCTGGCATTCTGGCATTTGTTATTACATACCTCAACTATAGATGTGTTTTGCTTATAGGTTTCTGTAGAGAGGAATGAGAGGCTTCAGTTGCTTCACAGTGTAAACATCAAGTGCTGCTAAATGTCCACTATAAAAAGCTATTACAAAGTTATCTGGAAGGCAGCTTTAGTTAGCTGGAAAACAAAATGCCTTATTTAATGATTACTTGCATCTATCTCACAGCATCTTCTATTCAGAAGGTACCCCATGTGGAACAGCCTTTGGAATGTAAAATACAAAGTCTGTGAAATCATTGTACAGTACTTTGTTTTGTGTTTTTGATACCCAGCTTGTGGTGACTCAATCGTGCCCGACTTTCAGAAGTGGTCTGCTGCTTTCTGGGTGCGTCTAAATGTGCAGTTAATACGACTGAATAAACTCCAGCAGGTTGTGCCAGTTTTTTGTTCCTGGGTGCCATGTTTACACATCTACCCAGGACTGCAGCATGTTGAGCTGGGTTGGAGCAGCCTTGGCAGGTTGAGGACCCTGGGGGTCAATTTGCCAGCCTGGGGCTGCTCCAACTTGGCTCAAATATAGTATTTTTCACTGTGGGTAATATTAAATCTTAACCCAATACGCTTTCTAGAGATCACTGCTATACTAGTACTCATAGTTGGACTGAGAACTATCCATCTATATCCATCCGGACAGCACTGTATTTTATTTTATTGTATATAAAGACAATAAATAAAATATTGGTGCACCAATAGAGATTTTTGGGGCTGATACTGATGATAAATACAATAAAATAAAATGTGGTGCTGTCCGGATGGATATAGATGGATAGCTCTCAGCCCAGCTGTGAATACTAGTATAGCAATGATCTCTAGAAAGCTTGTTGGATTAAGATTTAATAGTGCCCATGATGAAAAATATTGCAGCAGGCAATCCAAACATCTAAATGTCACAACCCAAGGGTGTGATTTTTGTTTGTGTGCGCTTCGGCACTGCTAAATTATTTCCCGCTACTCGTAGCTTTCTTTGCATGGTGCATTTCTAGGTTGCAAAAGAGAAATGCACGGTGCAAGGAGTTCCTGTCATTCGCATGCAAATTTGTGTCCCACTATTGGCCAGTTCTAAATTATTCCCACGTGGCGGCTAGCGATTGGCTTGCTAGCCGTATAAGAGACTTGAGCGGTTTCCGCCCAAGTTGGAGGACTCCACAGCCATCTGGAGGAGGAGAACTTCACATCTCGTGAAGATCTCTAAGCGCTGCGGAGCCTATCAGACCCAGCGTGTATCTCAAGAAGGCTATAGGGGTCTGATCAACCTCTGGCCTCTCCCCGTTGCCGCCTGATCCCTCGACGTACCCTTCCCTGCGCGCAAGTTCCACGGAGCCTAGCAAACTTCGTGTGAGTGTATCCAGAGCTCTGTCCGGGTTCGAGTCCTGCAGGTTTATCTTCCCGTCGCCGAAAACCCATTGCGACGTACTCTCGTGTTTTGCATTTTCCCGTCGCCGAAAACCCCCTGCGACGTACTCTCGTGCCCTGCAGGTTCGAGTTTTGTTTTGTTTTGTAACTGCAACTCAAGCAAGTTTTCCTGCCTGCACCGCGACCATCTTTGGTGTAAGTAAAATAATCTTTAATCAACCACTAAGCTTTCGTGCCTAATTCTAGCGTGCCGCCTGCCTTCCCCGACCCGGCGTGTCCGGGCTGCTGGCCACAGCCCGCCGCGCGAAAAACCCCCGAGGGCCTCGGACCGCTCCCGGCCCGCACACTAAACATAACCAGAAATTAATGAACAAGTTCAGTGTACTGCTCTTTCCTTTTTTATATTGGAGACAAACTTAATCAGATGATACCAAAACATCTGAATGGTATTTGACTGAACTCTTGGAATGACAGGAATCCTAGTTCAGTGGTTACCAAATAGTTTGAAGTAGATAACTGTTAATTATACCACTATTTGTTAATTATTAAACTGTGCAGCCATCAAATCCAGATATGTTTAATGAGCCATAGACTCTTCCTGTATATTTTTTCCTTTGCTTCAGAGCTTTTTTTACCTAAATATTTTGAAATCATAAATTGCACTTACATGCTATAATGCTTTAATGATTTAAATCAAGGCGTCCTGCTGGAGGGCGGGGGGAGGGGTTCTGACTTCGTGGGGTTCATGGTGGAGGAAGGGCTTATAGGTACCCTACATAATCACAGATCACTTCCATGGAAACATCCCTATTTAATTTTAACCAAGATCTGAATCTAGCTCAGTGGGTCCTTTCTGCCTTCCCCTAACCTATGTGATCTCCAGGTGTACTGTAATAATGGCAAATAGGGAGCAGTGTTTAAATCTGGAAGATAAGCCCATTTGCAGTTATGAGGATGTACATCTATATATCCCAGCATGATGGGTAATTATCTCTGGCATGGGACTAGAGCCATAACAAGTAGCATAACTAAGGGGGGAAACTGGGGCAGCTGCCTCAAGTGTGGCCTTTGTTGAGGGGACAGAAAAATAGCCATTGTTGCAGAAGTGGCTGATCACACCACCACACTCGTGACGACAGCCCACCCTGGCCCCATGCATCATGGCTACCTAGAGTGCCTCTGGCCATAGCCATGTAACTGCAGTGCTCAAGTGATTCCTAAAGCCCTATTTCTTAGTATCTTTAATGCATATGTAGCATGGCAATTGAGAATTTGAGCCATAAAGAAAGTAGAGATAAGGTATGTGATATTTTGGCATTAAAGGGGTGTTTCATGAAGGATGGAGATTTGAGTGAGAGATCCTGCATGCTAAACATGTCTTCCTGGTTAATCTGAAGACATCCCAACAGTTGCATTGTGCAGGTGACATTGCTAGCAACTGGAAGGAATGGCAAGTAAGGAAAAGAAAGGGAGTTTCTTATAATCACAGTTGCTGGGACATTGAAATAAGAATTGTAAAGGAAAATTATTTAAGACACTCAACTGTATCTCTGGGTCTCTGTAATACACAGAAGTTGGTTTTGAGGGACATGGAAAAGAAATATCAAGTATCAACTCAGGCAAAGGGCAGTCATTTTGTTTCTTGAGCAGTGATACATTTCATACTTATGAATCAAGAAATCAGCATACATATATTTGTGAACATCTTTATGTGGAATATTTTGAATGTCTGTACCCTGCCATTGATTTTTGTGGGCAATTTTCTGTTTCTCTCAGAAGAAAGATTAATTTAAAGGTTGGCAAAATCTATTAGCCACCACAGAAGTTGGGAGATGTGACTCTCATTTGCCTCATACAAACTAGTAGTTTCCACCAGAGTCTGTTCTTGTGATAACTTGAGAGAACTTTCTTTTTAATTTTGTTAATTGTATCCTGGACTTATAACAATCCACTCCAGTTTCAAATCGCATCCATTGTCTTAATAGGACTTGGGTGGAGTTGTCTATCCTGAGGTAGAAAGCTGTTTATCATTGCAGGATATGGTGATTACCAAGATAACAGAACAGCAGCGCAACTTGAAGGCACTCCCTTCGAGCTAAGTGAAATACTTGATACAAAAGTTAAAAAGGGCATTTTGCCTAGTTTTAAGTCCATACAACTTATGTGCACACACACGGGTTTTTATTCTGCAGTAGTAAAATTTTCATCCAAGTGGATATAAAAATATTGTACTTTTCTGGATAATTCAGCAATTTTGAAGTAGCTTCCACAGTGCTTTTTACTATTGAGATTTGAACTGCAATTGATTATAAAGAACCATAATATCATAGAAAATTAAGGTTGGAAGGGACCACCAAAGGCCATCTAGTCCAATCTCCTGCTCAAAGCAGGACTATCCCCAACTATCTCATTCCAGCCAGGACTTTGGCAACCCAGGCCTTAAAAACCTCCAAGGATGGAGCTTCCGCCTCCTCGCTGAGTAGCCTGTTCCAGTACTTTACTACCCTTCTGGTTAGAAAGTCTTTCCTAATATCTAACCTAAACTTCCCTTGCTGCAACTTGAGACCACTGCTCCTTGTTCTGCCACCACTGAGAACAATGTAGCTCCATCTTCGTTGTAACCACCCTTCAGGTAGTTGAAGGCTGCTATCAAGTCCCGTCCCCCACCCCCCCCACCCCCCTTCAGTCTTCTCTTTTCCAGACTAAATAAGCCTAGTTCCCTCAGCCTCTCCTCAGAAGTCATATGCATCAGCCCCCTCACCATATTTGCTGCCTTCCACTGGATTTTCTCCAATTTGTCTACATCCTTATGGCTAGGGGTGCACCAATAGAAGTTTTTTGGGCTGATACTGATGGCCGATTTTTGACAAGCTATATCAGCTGATACCAGTCCAGTTGTCAGTATACAGCCCAGCAGCTTGGAGAACAACGTCTGGCTGGCAAGTCTGCTGTTGGGGAAAGGGCAAGGTGGGAAGTAAGGGGGGTGGGGGGGCAGATTGAGGCCCCCATGGTGAGGGAGGAATGAGGCTGAGGCAGGCGCTGTTCAGCCAGGGCAGGGCAGGGCAGGGCAGGGCGTGGGACAGAGCAACAAGCAGCTTGTCCAGGGGGTGTGAGAAGGGGGGCAGCTTCTGCCACTATGCACACCCCAGGAGTGCAGGGGGGTGTGCCTCCCAGATCTGTATGCAGAGTGAGGGCAGGTGGCTGCTGCGGGCCAGGGCTGGTGCTGGGTTCTTCCCAGAGTGGGGGGCTGGGCTGCACGCAGGGTGGATGGCAGCAGTGCTGGGAGCAGGGGCATATTTCAGGGTGGCTGTAGCTCCCCCACCAGGAGGAGCCCGGCACCAGCCCCAGGCCTCAGCGGCAACCCATGCACAGATCAAGGGCACATGCCTCCCATGGCTTCCCAGTAGTGCGTGTATCAGTGGGATTCCCCCCACCTCGCAACCCCCAGAAAAGCCATGTGGCTCTGTCCTTTGCCCTGCCCCAGCTGGGCAGTGCCTGCCCTAGCCCCACTTGCACTCTCACTGTGGGGGCCTCAATCTGCCCCCCGCCATGGCCCTTCCCTTCCCCCCGCCCCTTCCTCCACAACAGATTTACCAGCTGGATGCTGCTCTCCACGCTGCCAGGCTGCATTCCTGGCCACCTGCATGCTGCACTATGGCTACACACATGCACAGGGCATTTATTGGCAACATTATCTGCCATTAAAAGCTGATTGCCAATAAAGTCAATTTTCCTTATATCAGTACTGATATAATATGGGACTGATGTATCCGTGCACCTCTACTTATGGTAGTTTCAATGGCTGAAGCCATATGAAGTAAAATTGTATGCTATAGTTGAGATATGGAATGCTGATTTTATAGCACATGGTAGGAAGTGGTGTTCCTTGTAGCCATCTTTGTTCTTTTCCTTCCTAATCTTTTCCAGTGCTGCAGAGATCTAGAGACCTGTCTAAATTACAGTAGTCTCCCTGGGTTGCTTTCTAAGTTCTTATACCAGATGAGTCGTCCTATGGGTGGATTTGGGGCTTTTAAAGTGTTCCCATACTCTAGCACAGTAGTTTTTAACTTTTTTTAATTTGTGGACCCCAAAAAATGTCAAATGGAGGTGCCAGACCCCTTTGGATTGTAAGTGTGAGTATTCACATACCTTTTTATCACAGTAGGCTTTTGCAGACCCTTTGGACATAGTATGCAGACTCTCAGGGGTCTGTGGACCACATGTTGAAAACCACTGCTTTAGCACTCTCACTAGAATGAAGAGGAAGGAGAGGGCTGAAGATCTTGATGCCTGTGAGGGCAAACTCCCCAAAATCTAGTATCTCTTGCATTTTTCAGAGGCCTGCCAACCACTCATAAAGGCTGAGCCATATGGGGCTAAGATCCCTATGAGACCTTTTGCTAATCCACAGTGTAGTGTGCAGGGACAGTTGCTAGATACCTTCCATTCCCTAAACACCACTTTAGCCTGGGAGATAGGCAAAGGTTCATGGTTCAGTGTGATGTTCTCCTTTTTGCCACTACTAGAAGAAGAAGCAGATGCTTCATGGATGGTGCCACGTGAGTATAGCTTTGGGGAAGGACACTTGGAAAAGACAAAGGGCTAGTAATAACATTTTTCCCCAACAAGAGAGGAAAGAGAAATGGAAAAAAAATGGTGGCTATTCACAAGATTGATGTTTTTGGAGTAAGAGTTTCTACTTTTTTTTGTGTGATTTCAAAAGAATCCACACATCACAAAAAGGAATTTTTTTGAGAAATATTTACGCTATTTTTTGTGATGTAATTATTGCCTTAATTTCTCATCACATTAACATATGCTCACATCATTTTGATTTTTAAAGTCTCTACATAAACTTATTACAGCTAACTTGTATGCTTTTTAATCTTCTTAACAGACCAACTATTACGAACAGCCAGTCAGCATTCTGATAGTAGTGGTTTTGCTGAAGATCCTTCTACAGATTGCTTTTCACTTAATCCCCTTCAGGTAAGTTTCCTGTGTTGTGGTTGAAATGGTGGTTGGTTATTGTGATATTGTTGCAGTGCCTTTTGTTTTGAGTCACACTTGACAATTAACCTGGATCCTGATAAGATTTTTCCATTTCAGGACTGGACCTGTCCAGTCTCCCTTTTGACCTTTGCATTAAAGTTTTAAAACTTTCAGACTGGATGATCTTATCTGAATGACCTGGGCCCTGGAATAAGCTTTAAGTTCAGGATTTTCTGTTCACTGATATTTTTTTTTGATAAATCTGTTCTCGCTGGCAGAGCCTTTAGAATTGCTGTTCATTCCCTTTTAATAATTTTCAAAGTGCTAAGCTTTGAAATAAGATTAATATATTTTGGGGGGGTGTTATTTGTTTATTAATAATTCAGTTTTTATTTGTTTGTTTGTTCCTCAGTCAAATTTTCTTTGCATATTTTTTGCTTTACCTTAGGGCTTTAATTATTGACAAAAAGTAAAAATAAATTTATATTAACATGGTTAAACTAGTCAATATGAATTAGTTTAAACCCCCAGTTGCTGCTCCCTTCTTCAGGCTCAGTCAACTTATTTTGCTATTGCCTATAATATTTCTCCTGGAATTTACAAAAATAACAACTTTAGGCCATAAAGTCTTACTTTTCTTGAGGGAGGGAGGCAGATGTTTGTATCTTTTTAGTCAGTAATTTCTCAATGACATAACTCTCCTTTGATGACCAAATACCGGTCTCTAAGTCATGATACTGCTATTCCTTGCATTTAGTGTTTGGTAGCTTTCCTCTTCCAGTTGCCAAAGTGTAGAGAAATATGTGCATTATTTAGTTTGTATTCCCATGATGGGAATACATCTAAAACAGTTTTAGATGTATCTACAACACTTGGACTAGAGATTTTGATGGCCACTAATATAGTTGGAATCCAGCCTCCACTGCAGTTTTTAATATTTTTTTTCAATTTGTCATATGGAAGGTATCCTAACAATGATGTTCTGTAACAAAATTAAAGCCTGAGGGACTGATTCTACTCAGGACTATTAGCAGTGAATCTAAACTAGAGTTAATGTTTTTGTGACAAGAGAATGAGTCTAAGAATAAAATCACTCCCCTGTGCTTTTTTAAACTGATGACCAAACCTGGTGAAGGTCTCTTTTACACTGCTAAATCACACTAAGTTGCAACTAATTTATTTCTCTCGGTGGCCTGGATCATCTCTGTTAGTGAAAGCTGTGTGCAACGTAGAATGCTGCATTTTTCTGATTTTTGTGTTGCTTGTCTGAATGGATGGATTGAGAGAGAGCTTACAGTGAACAAGACAATTCTGCATTGTGCACTGGAAGCCTTAGACTCTCTGCTCTTGCTTTCATTGTCTTCTCTCCAACTAAAAACTGTTGAATTTAGAAAAAGATGGGTGACTTGTGAGAGTAAAAAGAAAATGAAAACTTGGTAGTTCAGGGAGTGGGCTTGAAAAAAGTGTAAAAGAATATACAGATTGTTTGTTGTTTCCCAAAAGTATGGCAAGTTAGTGCCATCTACTGTTAAATGATTTAACCAACATAGTATTACATTGTTCAGAAATATAAGATAGAAGTCGTTATCTGTGTTAGTTTGAAGTAAGGCAGAAGGTAGAGTAGTTTTGTACCTTATAGACTAACCAAATCAGAAATGTATAGCACAAGCTTTTGTAAGTAGAAGTTTACTTCACCAGATGGTATGAAGGGATTGCAGGGAGCAGAGCTTCTAAATAGAAAATGTGATTAGAATATAAAGGGTAGAGAAGAGAGGAGGAAAAAGAGGGGACACTGCTGAGAGATGTGATGTGAGAAGGGAAAAGAAAAAGCAGTTAAGCCAAGAAATACAAGAGCATACTGAGAAATGGGAGAACTTGTCCCCCAGAACTGGAGTCCTAATGTAAAAGATTTCTCCATCCAACAGTTCTAAGAGTTGTCGTAGATAACTTACTTGTGAGTAAATAAGGTTTATACTAGATACAAAGATCCACAAATGTGAATTTAAATTGGTTTGCATGAGGTATTTCACCAGAATGTTAACGTTTTTGGAAGTGCAAAAACTCTGGGCAACTTACTTTCCTTGGCTTGAACAACATTCCCCTTTTTTCAGCCTTCCCTACTTATCTAGGGGAGATTTGTGCAACACAAGATAAATACTTCTGAACATAAAGCTCACGACTGCAAATTCTTTTCAGGGCAAATGACAGGTGGAATTAGTGCTTGACATATTTCATAAATAATCTAGCAGTAGTGAACTAATGGACAGAATCTTTACAGTGGTCTATAGCTATAGAAATTGGAGATGGGAAAAGCTTGTTGCTGCCCCCCGCCCCCCAAATTGTTCTTTATAATACATTTTCCTAGTGCCTTGCCCAGTTTCTCTTTTTAAGTGTACCAGCCAGTGGGGTTCTTCGTAGGCACCATTCCACATTCTAATAAATCTCAGTCTCAGAGTAGCTCAGAAAGCTACCATTATTTGTTTGAATTATCATATTCAGTTCAAGAGACCCTATTAAATATTAGAAGCTACTGTCATATCCAGGTTATCCAGGTACATAAGAAACACATGATTTGCCACAATGTAGTTTTAAAATAAGACTCAAAAGTGAGAATAGCGAACAGTGGAAGGCGAGAGGGAAAGATGTTGGTTGTTACAGCAATGAATTCAAGTAGTTACATAGGTTAGCAACATGCAGAACCTGAGGGTTCTGCATTGTGTAACATTGTATGCTGTATGTGCAGTTGTAAAATATAGGTTTAGCCTAAATTTGTCCTATAACTTCTACTCCTACTTACACCAAATTCCTTAGACTAAATAATTCCTCTCACTCCATGATGATGCCCCCTTTCTTTCTTTCTTAGATATTTCAAAGACAATTATCATCTGTATGTATTGGATTGAATACAAACCTCAGATTCAAGTGGTATCCAGTTTTTCCAACCTGCTCACTGTTATTCATCCCTAACCTAAAATATCTATATTTACTTTCGTCTTTAAATCAGTCCCTGAAGCCCCTCAATCACTTTGCTGTTCCACTTTCTGATCTGCCTTCATTTTTCTTTTCTTTTTGCCAGTAACATGTCAAGGAATGAAAATACTGTTAGAGCTGTGTAGAAAGGATCCTTGCTCACTTGTTCTGTAACATGCTACAATTGTATTTTAAAGTTATGTTTCAATGAGCTTTTGGTGCTGTATTTCCATGCATGATTCCATTTAATTTACTCTCCACTACAGCATCTGACTTTCTAGTATTGCTTATACTCAGGTTTCTCACTTATTTCATGTACCTGTAATCTCGGATGCTTTTCTCCCAGAAATATGGACTTTTCTTGCTTTTTGTCTTAATAAAAGTTAAGGTAAAAATAAGGCTATACACTTTCATTAAGGTAAAAAACAAATATTTGTTTTCACCTTTTCATTGGTTCTCTCCTATCTTCAATTTGTTTACTGCAGGTTCATGACTCTTTGCAGGCTATGGGAAGTAGTGCTGACAGTTGTGACAGTGAGACAACGGTAACGTCGCACAGTGAGGAGCTTAGGACACCGATAGCCAAAGAACTTCCCTATTTCCATGAGTTAGAGGAGGAGGAGGAGGAGGAAGAGGAGGATGAAAAGGTTCTCCCTGAAATGGAGGGACAAAAGTTGGAGGTACCTTCTGAAAAGAGAACAGAAGGTGATGAAGCAAACCTTGAACATGAAACTGATCAGAACCAAAGAAGAGAGAGAAATTTGTCTCACACATCAGATTCTGCTCAAAGAAATCTCAGTATAGAAAGTGAAGAGACTTCTACTGAACAAAAGGAATCTGAGGTTCTAGAAGAAGATAGTGATGAAAGTGATCTGGAAAAAAGCAGTGAACTTGAATTTCCACAGTACAAAACACACCATATTCTTAAATCAATGGCATCTATTGAAAGCACCAGTTCATCCACTTCTTCTGCAGATAGGGTTCATGTTGCTTTGCAAAGAGCCCAGATGAAGATCAGCAGCACATCTGGTTCCAGAGTTGGGCGCACCCTGCTCAAGTCAAAAGACCTGCTCTTGAAGCAAAGGCACCGGCTTGCTGAATCAGGTTATCCTCTTAGGCGATCCCAGTCTCTTCCAACTGCATTACTGAATCCAGTGAAAGTAGTTTCCTCAGTAAATGTCCGGCTGTCTCCAGGAAAAGAGACTTTGTGCAGCCCTCCTTCCTTCACCTATAAGTATACACCTGAGGAGGAGGAGGAGGAGGACCTGATGACTGAGGACAAGCAATTGGTGAACAAAATGAAAGACAGTCCACCTCCATGTAAATCCACATTTCATGTTGCCCCTTCATCCATGAAAAAGGAAACTACCCAAAGTGGGCTGACCAGGTTGGTGGATGAATCTAGTCACAGTAGACTACAGAGCTGCCCGTTGCACATACCTGCACACATGTCTCAGTCAACATGTTCTCTCCACTCTCTTTATTCTGATTGGCAAGATAGGCCTCTATGTGAACATATGAGAACACTTAGCACACACAGTGTCCCAAGTATCTCGGGATCTTCTTGCAGTGCATTAGCTTCTCCTTTTGGTTGCCCTTATTCTCCAAGGCATGTTGGATACTCTCCTCGGCCGCATGCCATTAATCCACCCTCTACTGTTGAAATGCAGCTACGCCGAGTCTTGCATGATATCAGAAACTCTCTCCAGAATCTCTCTCAGGTAAGAGGAAACTGAATTCAGAGCTGTGGGGGAACAAAGATTTTTGTTGCAGCCAATGTGAAATGTTAATCCAGTCTTAAATGCGCTTATAATGTAGCTTGTGTTGTTGAGTAAAGTGTGTTTTTAGAATAAGATAAAAAATATGACATTTTGTGCAAGTTAATTTGTTGTTAATCATGAGCTTTGATATAGAAAGTAGCGTTATGTCATCTCTCCACCCACCCTTTGGTTTTTGCCTTTACCAGCTTACCTCAAGAAACTTGACCCTGTGCTGATTGTACTTTCTAGATGTTCTGGGGGAGGGAAGTCTGAAAACTGTTCTTGTCCATCTTCAATTTGCTCAGCTTATTGCTATTGATTTCTGAAGCTGCCTGTCCTTACCTTCAAGGATCTCTGTAACTTCCTTCTTGCCTTCAGTTTAACCATCTTTTTATTTAGTTATTTTTGTTCCCTACCCCTCAGCTCTGTTAACAATACCAGCTTCAGTGACTCCATTAGTCCATGTCCCTTCCACACACATCTCTACACTACTTTTCATGCTGCCCTTGTGCCTGCGCTGTTACCTTCATTAGCTGACCCAGAAAACCCATTATTTTCTTATTCTTTTCCCCTGTGGAGACCTTCTTCTGCCAGAACACATTGCATAGAAGATGCCCAGCAACCTCCATGCTGTGCCCAGAATCACTGGTGTGGCCACACCTTTCCCACTTGCTTCTGTTCCTCATGTGCCAACTCCTGGAGCAGAAGCAACGTAGTTGCCTCAAAGCTGAGCTGAGCATGTGCTGAGCATGTGTCAGCGAGCTTGCCTGAGACCAAGCCTACAAGCAGTGAGGGGTTTGTGTTCATGGACACTTTAAGGTGACTACATTGCCTCCTTCTCAGAAGTTGGCACATGCTGAATGGGAGCATACAAGTGGAGTGTTTTTTCAGGGTGGCATTTTGGGGCATAGCATAGTGGAAGTGTATGTATGGCCTGAGACAATGACCTTGTTAACGTTTTAAAACCCACTCTTTATTAAATGCTGTGTTTTATCTCTTGCTCTTTAGTAACCTGATCTTATCTAAGTCCTTCCTCTGCTGCCATCTCTGTCTTGTCATCCTTTTAAATGGGTAATTTCATATTGTTGAATTTAAGCCCCAGTTATGCTTTCAAGTAGGTACAGGGTCCTGTATGTGCACATACAGAGCAGTTGCAAGATCAGCTTGTTGGAAACCTAGCTCCCTAATGTGAAGTGTGTGGGAGGACCCTTATGCCTATGTGAAACCCTAATGCTTTTACTAAGTTTACCCAGGGACAGGCATCCACCTCCGTATGTCATGTTGCAGGACTTAGACCTCGATCGGATAGGGATGCTGATTTGTTTATTCATAGGAGATGACTAGAATTTATGTGGGTACCAATGGAAATAATGAAGTTAATGATCCTTTCCTGATATCCCATTCCTTGAATTGTATCTATTGCTTTGCTTGTCAAACTTTACAGCTCAGTTCTGCAGATACTTTTGGGTATTTGGGCATGTCTACATAGCACAATGTGATGCTGTGTAGTGCAGAGGTATCTCAGCTAGATCTGAATGAGCTGGGTTGGATTCCAGATGCAGATTAGCTACATTGGTGTGGGGCTCTACCCAGGATCTCAGACTGTTCAGTTAGTTCAGTATCTCTGATCCCACTGAAGTGGGCAAGGTAAACAACCTTTGAAGTCCAGAGGACTGTTCAAAATTGCAGGCATTTTGCCTAGGAGTGAATGTTAGCAAAACAGACTTTTGACTTTTCCTACATTGAGGAAGTTTAGGAATACTGCTCATTGGAATTCCTCTGTAATATAGACAAAGCTCTGATGGTGTATAATAGTTTCATAGTAGCTAGGGTCAGGAGGGGACCTGAACAGATCATCTAGCCTGACCCCCCTGCCACAGGCAGGAGTGAATGCTGGGTTCACAAGATCCCAGACAGGTGATCATCCAACCTCCTCTTGAATTTGCCCAAGGTAGGGGTGAGGACCACTTCCCTGGGAGTTGGTTCCAGATTCTGGCCACCCTAACTGTAAAATATTGCCTCCTGATCTCTAACCTAAACCTGTTCTCCATCAGCTTATTACCATTGTTCCTTGTCACCCCAGGTGGTGCTAGGGAGAAAAGGGCTCTACCTATTTGCTGATGATCTCCCCTGACGAGTTTGTAGGCAGCCACTGGGTCCCCCCTCAGCCTTTTCTTGCTGAGGCTGAACAGGTTCAGGTCCCTCAGTCTCTCCTTGTAGGGCCTCTCACCAAGCGGGTGGTCCTCCTCTGAACCCTCTCCAGGCTGGCCACATCCCTTTTGAAGTGCGACGCCCAGTACTGGACACAGTACTCCAACTGCGGCCTGACCAAAGTCGCACAGAGGGGGAGTATCACTTCTCTGGACCAGCTTGAGATGTACCTTTGGATGCATGACAAGGTATGGCTGGCCTTGCTGGCTGCGGTCTGGCACTGGCGGTTCATGTTCATCTTGGAGTCAATAATGATTCCAAGATCCCTTTCCGCCTCTGTGCTTTCAAGAAGGGAACTCCCCAGCCTGTATGTATGCTGTGGATTCCTTCTCCCAAGGTGCAGCACCCTGCATTTGTCTATGTTGAACCCCATCCTATTCTCATCTGCCCAATAAACTAACTATATGAACTTAGCTTGCTGAAGAGAGACTTTTGCAGCCTGTATGATACTATTGTGAATACAAGTCATCTGATAGAAATGAGTACTAATTGGAATTTAGTTATAAAATATCTTAGTGTAAACAGGGCAGCTATCCTGCAGCAAGCATAACTCAGCTAAGCCTGTTTTTTCACTTATCAGCCATTCTTAGATGTTTCTATGAAGGCATCTCTTTGTCCTATATGCTTTTACCTGTCATTTTTATTCTTCAGTTGACATTATTCTGTGTTATATCATGGTCACTTGTTCTAGAAACAACTGATGTGTTCCAAACACAAGCTTGGTGTCTTTAGAGGAGTAATGCAAATGAGCGGAAGGGGAAAAATGAGAGAGAAAAATAACTTTAAAATTATTGTACTTAAACAAAGTTCCTCTTGAAATGAAATGTATTCAGAGTATCCATGACGTGTCATCAGCTCCTTGAACTCTTTTGAAATTACATGGACAAACCACATTTTACTTATGTTTTAAAGGAATAACATTTTCTCCCATCTGTGCAGTTTGCAGTTGTGGCATGTGGGAACATATAATACTTCCTGTATATAGTGCTTTGTCCCTTGATGTAGCATACAAAAAGAAATTCCTCAAGAATCTTGTTTTCTGTCTATTAGAGCAAGATCTTTTGATGCAGGCGTTATAATGACATAAAGGGGGAAATTTGAACAACAAAGATCAATTTCATCATGAAACAGAAACTGTGTACCAGTTTTGCTCTTTTAAAATAAGGCCATAAAGCAGATTTACAGGTTGTTGTTGCTTGTATTTTAATATTACGTTAGTAGGGCAACTGAAACTGCTGCGTTTTCAAAGACATTATGCAAGTGGGTGAAACAACCTTTCATCATGTATCCTGTATCACAACAACTTCTAAACGTTGTGGGGGTTTTTTTGGTTTGTTTTATTTTGTACTTGTGTCTCAACTTGTGATTCAATGCTTTTGTATTACAGAGCCTTTACTGTGCAACAAAGCATGTTTTAAATAGCTTGGCATTATTCTATTGTGCTGAGGTCCCTCTTCACACCAGAAGAGCCCCTTGTCCTGGTAGCAGAGTACATTTTGTCAGAAAGGAAGCATTTGCCTGTTGCTGCAAGGTTTAGTTTACTTCTCAGTGCAGCTTCCCTTCTGCATTAGGGTTTTGAGCTGCTGCTTATCACTGTGGCATCTTGAGAGGGCTGATTCATTAATATGGTCCTACTGGCATTTTCATTTTAAATATTTTCCCTTTTCCTAGTACCCTGCAATGAGAGGTCACGATCTTGCTGCTGCCACCTCTTACAGTACTCAGAGATCATCCATTCTACCTCTTTATGAAGTAAGTATTATTTATACTTATATATTTATAAACACCTAGTAACAATTTAGTAATGCCCTAAATGTGCTGTTTACCCTATAACCAGGTCCTGTTCTGAAGAGCTGACTTTTTTAAAAGTATGAATAGTTTCCCATCAGCAATGGCCAGTATCTTCGTGTGAAGATTTGCAGGATAACACCCTGAAAATTAATCACAAATCTCTTAATGATTCTTCACTGGTTGCCTTCTTGAGTCCCAATTTCTGCTCCCATCATGCTGCCATTGGGGTGGGACTTTGTGGAAGGCAGTGAGGCTCTGCAAGTGCCTGTGTAGGAGCACTTCTGCTGTAGGGCCTACACATTTACCTGTGCATTTAACACTTTCTTGTCCATATCTCTTTAGAATACTTTCCAGGAACTACAGGTAGTGAGACGCAGTCTGAACTTGTTTAGAACTCAAATGATGGATTTGGAATTGACTATGTTACGTCAGCAAACAACAGTATATCAACACATGACTGAAGAAGAAAGGTAAAATCATTGTGACTGTTGATGTTTAGAGAAAGAGAATGCTGTATTTACGTAAATACAAGACAAAGTTCCCCCTCCCCCCCCCCCCCCCCCCCGCCCAGCCCCTTCACAGCACATAGTGGTGTGGAGGGGGAAGCTCTTTGTCTTACAAGGCAATGTTATTAAATCCATTGTCTGTCATTAAACTGTTGCCAAAAGCAGCATGTGCTCAGTATTGAAAACCAACTATGAAGTTGAGAAAACATAGCCAACACTCAGCATGACTATAAAACACATGGTCCATATTGAGCGAGCAAACAAACTGATGGGAGCGTGTGTGTGTGTGTCCCTTAAGAAACAAAAAACAGGCAGGTGTTTCCTCTGCAGGGAACTGGCACTGGCCCTGGGCCTGGGCCTCCAGGTTGACACCAGGGGGGCCAGATTCAGCCTTGACACCCCCTTTCCCCCCACCTTGGTGCCAAAAAGGCCAAGTTGCTGATGGGGAACCTACCACAAGAATAGGTTAGTGCAGCCCATCTGAATAAGATGTATTGTAGTGCGAAATGTGCCCAGTCCCCTTCAGACCTGACTCTTTTTTTTTTTAAGTCAGGTGAACCACTGTATTGAATTTAGACTTCCTCTTCACTACCACAGCTGAGTAGTGGTACACATTTTCTAGTGATTCCTATTTCTTCACCAGTCTTAAACATCTAGTAAACACCACCAAGTGGGGCCCTAAACTGTGCATCCAGAATCTCTCTATCACCCTTTTCTCAGCCTGTTGCATATAATTAGTGTGGCCCCACCCTCCATGAGGTGGAACCAGACCAGGTTTCCTTGCGCCTCACCTGCACATAAATTTTTGAAGAATCCCAGGACTCGCAAGCAGAACACCCAGTTCCAGTCATAAGTGGAGGGACTAATTACCACATGGGTCTTTTGTGGGAGGTATCTGAAGTACACACAAATACAAGAAGCACTGAGCAATAGAGTCACCATGGCTTTAAACACTGTTGACTCTGCTGGGGCCTGGACCAGTGAACTATATGGTAAATCATGAGCCTGTTGGCTTTGGACAGATAACATGCATAGTTTCTATTATATATAAGTAGGTACAAAAGTGCTGCTTAGGAGTGTGTTTATGGAGTACCTGTGCTAAAACTTGCAGCAGTTTCAAAAAAGGTAAAATCCATCCATTTTAGATGACCTAAATTACTACAGGCATGTTTATTTCAGTCATTGTTTTCAGATTTGCCTCTTACTTCCATGTGTGCAGGGAGAGGAGGGCATGGCAGTAAGGAAAGGGCTGCAGGGGGAAGATGATGTGGGAGGCAGAGGGCAAAGGGGCCACTTGACCCCCCCCAGATTTATTCCCCCTGCTGTAACAGTGGGTGGGGGACAAATTCAAGGCAAACCTCCAATAATTAGATTCTGTACCTGGAAAACTTACAACATATTGATACATTTCCCATGTATAGAATCTAATTATTGGGGGATCATCTTATATTCAGGGCCATCTTATATTTGAATAAATATGGTACTTCCTTATTTGCTGCTCCTTCTTCCACTAAAGCCAAAGGTAAAACACCCATTGACCTCTCCGAGTAAGCAGAGGTCTGAACTTTTATCAAACTATTTAGTCTTCCCACCCCCAATTCGGTGATATTTTCCTCTTTATGGCTTTATGCTCATCCATCTTTTCCTCCAGGCAGCAAAATTCTTGCCCTGAACATTTTTATAGTTGTGAGTTTTAACAATTTTTTTTTTTATCAGAGGCCACTTGCACATTTCTTTTTCTCTTATATTAAATATTTCTATCACAGATCTCTTTCTGTTATTTATAAATTTATATAAAAAATTGCAAAGCATTCAGATGCTTCTTCAACCCACAGCTGCCACTAATAGTTTAAAACACTCATTAATCTGCCTGTATTGTTGTTGCCATCAGTGCTGTGAAAAATCATGCAGAAGAAAAACACTTAGATTGTTTATTGCCATTGATTTTGTTATTGATGTTTGAACAAAAACAACATAAATAACATAACAGTAAATATAGATGTGTCTAAACTCCATATGCTTGAATATATTGAACGTAATTGGAAACTCATTGGAAGATTTTCCTTGTTTGGCACTGGATCTTAGTTTTCCCATTGAAGTGATAGGTTTTTCTCTCAAAACAGAACTCCATTTTTCTGAAGTGATGAGAATCCTTTGTTCCCTTTTCCTTCACTACTGCTCAGGATGCAGGAGGTTTCCTGTGAAAGAGAAGCAAGCAGCACCTTCTGTGCCAACTGCTTCTAACTCACAGAGTTTCAGAGGACGTGATGGACTATGCCTCTCTGCTAACAGAATGTTGGTTTTTTTGTAATTCACTTGCCTTTAGATATGAAGCCGATCAACTCCAGAGTTTAAGAAAATCTGTCCGCATGGAGCTGCAGGAGCTAGAAACGCAGTTAGAGGAACGTCTGCTTGCTCTGGAGGAACAGCTTAGAACTTTACACATGTCTTCACCTTACAGATCTCAGCCACTCATGGTGTGTGTTGTTTTGGGAAGTTACTATATTTATGATATCTCTTAGCAGCGTATTTTTTGAATTGCGTACTAAAGTTAAACCTAAAGTATCTGTTATGTAGATGCCAACTTTTAAATTAAGACTCCAATTAAAGATCTTCCAAACATTCTTATTGATGTGTTTGAACTGTGATCTATAGAATTTGGATGACAAGTCTTATGTAGATCAGGAGTGACTTTTTTTTGTTTTCATTGGTCGTTCAACTACATGTGATTCCAGGATTTTTATCAGGATTTTAGCTCAGAGATGTCAGAGCTCTATACCTCTTCCAGTGTTTTCTTCCTTTTTTAAAATCATTTTATTCCCACCCAAGGAGTCTACCAAGATTCCAAAACAGTGACCATGAATTATCACTGCAACCCCCGGCTATAATGTTATTCTGTCTGGAGTTCCTCCTCTGCTTCTTCACTAGTCAAAGGAAGTAGCTATAGAGAGAACCCAAGGTGTTTCTGTCTGAAAGAGCTAGATTGTGCTGCCCTCCACAGTGCTTACCCATCCCATGTGCAAATGACTGGACATTTTTCTGTCTTTGCTATTGCCATCCTTCAAGTTTCTTTCACTTTCTGCATCTGTGATGCTTCTTTTATTGCTTCTCTTCTTGCACCATACTGTAAATTGTGTGGGCCTGAGATAAAAATTAAGGAAATTGTGGAAGTTCAAGGAATCATAAAAAGGTATGTATCTGTAGGGTAGAACAGAGATACCCAACCCCCTGCTTGCAGGCCAGATCTGGTTCCTCACGCCATGTCATCCATTCAGCAGGGTTCCCTACATTACCATGGGGAGCCCTGTGTGCCATAGCCCTATGCACTAGGTCTGGCCCATGGGATCGAATCCCATTATGCAGAGTGTTATGAGGTCCAATCTTGGAGCATGGGGCCAAAACATTGAACCCAGCTAGCACAGAAGAAAGGTTGCTCATGCTATTCTATTTTTCTAGAATATTACATGCAGCAGCAGCATGCTGTTTGTAAGGCCACATACAGGTGTTACATTTCTAGCAGGACAAATTGCTGATCTCTTGGTAGAAATTACAAGTGTTCGTTCAATTTCTCCCAGGAGGAATCATGCCCCTCTGGGAGAATGATCTCCAGCGTGTGACCCTGGAAGATCCCCTTAGCAAGAGAGACTCGTAATTTAAGTGTCTGCTCCCTTAGTGTCTGCTGCAGGTCCATCTCAAGACAACTAAAGTAGCACTGATTAGAATCTCCTAATTATTGTCAGTTTTTGCTCTATGCTGGTCAGTGTTCTTGCAGAAGCTTGTGTCCAGGCACAGCAGAGACACATGCCAAATCATCCTTTTCAGGATTGCCATGGAAAAAAATTTGAACAGCAAGAACAGGAAAATATGGAATTACTATGATCCCAAGCCAGACTAAAAATACTTGGATCTTTATAAATATATTTTTATTTTTAAATCCATTCATAGAAAGGAGCCAGCTTTTAAAATGACTAAAATAAACTTCTCTGACCAGTTTTGTTTACTTTCTGACTTCTATGGCTTTACTTCTTCAGACAGTTGCTACACACTATATTATGCATTACCATTTGATAGTTTTAAAGAACCCTGTGCACTAACTCCACTTTATATTTCAGGGTATGTATGGCAGCAGGAGCACTGATAATCTTTCATGCCCTTCTCCACTGAATGTAATTGAACCAGTAAGTAATTTTATTTAAACACTATTAAAAATAGGATAATCAAAGGCTTTCTTAAGAGAAACTGGTTAAATTTGGTATTTATTAGAGGCCAGATCCTACAAGCACCTGCTCATATGCTATTGAAAACAGTGGCACTGCTCACAGGAGCAAAGGTTGCACACACAAGTGTTTTCAGTATCTCTCCCATGATTTAGGAGAGATGTATGGAGGTAAAGTCTTGTTTAGGAGCAGCTATTGGCATCTGATGAGTTTGCTGTGGTAGTTCTCTCTTTCTATTTTGGTTAGTTCTTTTTGGTGAATATTAGGCCAGGAACCTTGGATAAATGCCTTTTTTGTTTTTAATTTAGATGAAAGCCAACAAAAATATTATAGAGTGGCTAAAAAAGAGTAGCTCAGAGTTGCAAAAGCTTAGGTATCCCTGAATGGCTTTACCAAGCAAGGTGGAACAAATCAAGACTTCTAATTTTTCAACAGCTTTGACTAGGTACAGCTGGTGGCTAGGGACATGGCAGTCATTTCTGTTTAATTAGATTTAAAACCTTGTCTTTATGCTTTTTTGCTGAAGTCACTAAGGGAAAGCATGATTATAAAATATTTATAAAAATACAGTAAATACAATGTGTATAGTATGTGTAATTGTGAAGATTAATACCATATGTATGACTTTTTTTTAATTAGAATGTATAAAATGTGTGAGAATCTGTATACCTGTATTCATGTATATATGCACACACACACAAATATATCTTTATACACTAGTGTGTGTGTGTGTGTGTGTGTGTGTGTGTGTGTGTGATGGAACGAGTGACTAGATAACTAATAAGAAATGTTGCTTTTATAGATGCAGGCTTTATTTGGTTCTGAAGAACAGTGTAATTACCTGTGCCTATGGAGGCCTCAGACAAATCACTAATGACCTCTGATTTTTAATATTTGTCTATAGCAATTATAGAAAATACTGGGAGAAAAAAACCAACCTTTTCTTCCTGAATCTCTAGGTCTCTGAACTTATTCGAGAACAGTCATTTTTGAAGTCAGAATTGGGATTAGGACTGGGAGATCTTGGATTGGAAACTCTTCCAGCAGAAGGATCAGAATCAGTATTCTCTCATGGAAACTCGGATTCTTCTTCCGTTTGCTCCAGCCATGCAGGCAGGAAAGCTGGTGGAAGCTTATCTGAGATAACTGGAAAGTCCAAGATGCAAAGCAAGAGGGTATACCGAGCATCTGTTGCCTTAACACCAACCCCACCAGCAAGACCAGGCAGCATGCAGCAAGCTGAATGCCCTGAGGAATATGCAGACTCCAGATCAGAGGTGGAACAAAAACTTGAAAAAGTTCCTTTTGCACCTTCAGTTGATGAAATTCACAGAAGCGTGGAGAATGAGGAGCTGCAGCAGGTTATACGGGAGGTAAGGAAAAACGTGGTGTCTACTTGGGTTAGGGTTTATTGAAACATTGGTCAGGTGAAATTTTTAGTTGTACTGCATACAACTCTGACTACTCTCCTCTTCCCCTAGTTTAACCTTAAAAAAAGAAAAAAGAGCCTGAGATCAGAGTTCTCAGCAACAGGCAGTTCTCACCACAGGGCTTAGCCAGAATTGTATATTGCATTTGCATTACCTCCTACCTAGATGACAGCAGTTGCTGCATTAATTAGTAGTTACTTAACATTATGGGCATGGATAAGGAGGTATTTGCTCTTTACTAAAATCACAATAGAATCTGTTTCTCTCTAAAGCATATCTTGCTTTAAAAACTAGTTTAGTTCCCTCTACTTGTAGAAGGGGTTGTAGCAATCCCAGAGATACTGCTTCTCTGCCACCTTTTTTCACCCTTAATTGGCAAATAGCCAATAAAATCCAGAACATAAAGCACCTCTTCACTTCCCTCTACCCAGTCTAGCAATATAATTAGGGTCGAAGTCAGATCCCAGGCTTCCCCTCCTTTTTCTGCACTGGTCAAATGGGGAATATTTATTTCCCGTCATCTTGGCTTTGTTGTAAAGGATATTTAGGTAATAGCTGCACAGTGCTTGGCAATGTTAATATCCCTTTACAGCTTCCAAGGAGTGTCCTGCTCTTCCTCAGTCTTTCATGAAGCAGAGAGGTTTTCTTCATGCTCTGGAAGGAAAACTAGGCAATAAAAATGAAATTAAAAAAACCTTGAAGTTATCAGACACTAAGACTATTTCTGGGCTGTTAAATGTAGAAGGCTTGGAATATGCATGCATGTTAAATAGAAGAAGAATGGTAGTGAAAATGATACATATTCCTTAGTGCACAATCTGTAGAATGAGAAGAGGTTGTTGGAATTCACTCTGTTTAGCTTTAGGCAGGAACTGCATAAATAGCCAAGGATAAAACTGCATGTTCTAGCAACCAATGTTAAAGGTGAGGGAGCTGCTAATATTAAGAATGGATGCATTTAACCTGGCTATTATGGTGCACAGTTTTTTTCAGTGAGGTCAAACAAGATCAGCTTGCATTACACTTAACTGATGCTCAACTGTGCTTGATGCCATTAGTAGCCTCTACTCACTGGGACTCTTTGTAGAGTATGGTGTTATCAAGTGTGGGTAAGAATATCCCAGTCTGGTGGTCAGTGAGGCACACCTAGAATGATTACATCAACATTACTGTAATTCACTTTAAGAATCTGACACTTTCTAGCAGTTACTGATTGTACAATGGGGTATTTTGTATGCCATATTTTACTCCTCTGCTTAAGATGGGCAGAAACTATATGCAGTAAAAGAAATCTTGTATTCTCTTATTCTCATATTAATTTCTTCCTGATCCTTTTTAGATAGCACTTTTCTACGTGTGCCAGTTACTGAGGCCAGTAGATAATTTGCACAGAACAGGTTTCTTCTGCAACTTGTTTGTCCTTCTGCATTGATCCTTCAGTGATGCCACACTGTTACATTTGTGGCATCTCCATTTTTTAAGCCATAGAAGGTAATGTCAGATGTGGGATTATGATTTCACTACAGGATGTTGCGAAAGAGAAGCTGAGAGAGGAAGGAGAAAGCTATCATTCAAACAGTTTGTAACGTATCAGAGGAAATAAAGAAAACTGAGGTCAAAGTACATTGCTGTTGTAGTGGATGTTCTTTCCAAGTTTATCTCAGTGTCAAAGTCCCTCGTTAACCTTATTAGTTGATAGCAGATACAGGAGGTGTGCATTTTGCAGAGAGAAATGGGGCATTTGGCTGTGTTTCTGAGTATTCTGTACAGCTAAATAGTTCTGTACTGAATTGCATTTAATTCAGAACCTGGGATTTAAATGTGCTTCATAGTTAGTTGATCTGGATTTACTCTGCAGATGTCTGAAGGCTGCCATTCAGTATAATCTTATTGGCATCCAACTGAGGAGAGAGTAGGCCCTGAACAGTAGCTGCTTTGTAAGTCAGCATTAAGGTAGACTGGCATCGAGATGTATGCATAGATGTTTTTGCAGTGTCTAACCTTATTACTGGATAACATGCATGCAAATCTTTATATTTTAATAGACTGAAATCTACAACAAATCAGTGTCTCCCTTGTATAACTACATTATTAGTAATGACATCGTTAGGATTGTTTTGTTGTAGGAAAGAAATGCATTAATGTGCATTCTTGATGTATGCCTTCACAAATGTTAAATTCATTGTTTATTCAGTAATTCCTCCCCCTTTTTGTATAGGCATGTGGTCGCCTAATGGAGGCAAAAAAGGGTAGGCAGTGTTTCAGAACATGCTTGGGTGGATTGTACTGTATGAGTTTTTATCTGTATCTATGTACTGCTTAAAAAAACCAGAAAAAACCAAAATCTGCTAACTTGCAGAATAAATGAATTCATTCCCACAGAAGAGCATGCAAAAATGTTAAATGTCAAGATACTGAACACTGGCCATCTGAAAATACAATCTGAACTCCATTGAACTATCACATACAATACTTTCTTTTTGACTCTCACAGCATTGCAAGGAATGTAGCATATCCTTTATTTGATTTAACAGAAACAGTAGTTTTTAAAAAGTTGTACATAAGGAGACAATGATTGTTTAAATGAGCCTGAAGCTGATTAGAAGAACAGTTTCATCTGATTTTTCTTTGAGCATCCTGCTTAAATTAATGAAATGCAAGTGAATTTCATGGGGTCAGAGAAATGACTAATTATCTTTGATAAGTATCTTTTTGTGTGTATTCCTATAAGATTATGTAAGGTTTTGTTGTACTTCTGTCCCACTAGACTGAAGAAAACCATATCCATCACTACAGTTGAACCTAGACAGCTAACTGATCTAGCATGGAGATTAAATGATTCAGCCCAACAGGATTTTCTTCCAGGTTAGCATTAAAGGGCAGTAGGAGCAAGCCTCCATGTTCTACATGTTCTTTGGCCTATTGGAGGACTTTAGTGCCCAAGCTGTCTATGTGGCACTTTCTTACCATGAAGAAATGTATTGTTAGCCATATGGTACGATTGCAGCAGGGTAGGTGGTAGAGGTTTGGGATGCTGGTTAATGATATTTATAAATAATATTGCTGTTAAAACAAGACTGGCACGATGCTTAGAGAATTATTATATTCCATCCATTGAGCAAATGTAATTCTGGGTTTTAAACCTAAGAGTGAAGTAGGCTTCAACTTCCTTTTTATTCATTTCTTGTTTGTTGATTGGCAGAACACTGTGGCCTGTACAGAATAGGAGGGGTGTGTACCTTGCCTTGAGAAGTTCATAATCAGAAAGACAAATATTTGGCAATTATCATGAGACATGAAAAGTGGCTGAGTCACCACGGGAACAATACATCTTGCATCCATTCAGGAATTACCGTGATCAGTTGTAAGAATCTGATAGAGGGCTGAGCCTGGAAAAAAAGGCCTGGAGAAGAGAGGAGTAGAAGGTACGAAGGAGAAATACTGAGATGGAGTAAACAATGGGCAAAGGTGGCGTTCTTCAAAGCCTTAGACATGAGGACCCAGGACTGAATCCCAGAAGGGGGTAAAGTAGAATTAATAGCCCTTATTCATGTGCCTGGACAGAGGGCTATCTCTTGGATCATGCCCCGTCTGGTCCTTGTACCTTACTATGGACTGACTGCAGGGAGGTACCTTCGGTCCATTGGGATTCACAAGTTAGATTCCTTTCCTGAAGTTAGACAGCAGAGCCCTGTCTCAAACACTGAGCAGAATATCAGTCTTGTGGTGCTTGCACCGCTGTTATACAATATTCTGCCTCTCTCGCCTCCCAGGAGAAAGTCCTGACTCCCACACCATAAGACATTCTGGGGACAGGGCACTCTCCATGCTTCCTGTAGAATTTGTTCCACTTGATATCAAGTAAAGGTTTACTGAGCCAGAGAGAGCATATGAGAGTGTGATTCTCTAGCCCAGGGCTGTCTTCTTTCTGAGTTGCTAGGAACTGTGTGGGCCTTATGTCACGCAGGGTGCAGATCCCCTGGGCCATATACTACATGGGCCTCCCTCTGTCACATTCCTACAACTGACCAAGGTAATTCCTGAATGGATGCAAGATGTATTGTTCCCATGGTGACTCAGTGATTTTTCATCTAATGATAATTGCCAAATATTTGTCTTTCTGATTATGAACCTCTCATGGCAAGGTACACACCCCTCCTATTCTGTATGAGTACAGGATCTGACAGATCCTAGCTGCAGCAGTAGCAGGAGCATTGTGGGGAGTAGTGCCCATGCATGAGTCTGCAAGCTTCAAGTTAACTGCTCAGGCCAGATGTGGCTCATGGATAGCTCTGCACTAGCTTGTTAGATAGGGCATACCCTGAATGGGGGAGGCCGAAGCCTGTGCATGTTTCAAGGGCCACTTGCATGCCTCTAACATAACAGTCAGTGCCTAAGCTTTTTAGTGCCTCTGCCCATGGTTGTACTTACTGCCTTTCTGCCAAGGCCAAGACTGCTGCCGAGAAATAAGTCCTGCCTATTCAGTCTCTGTGTGTACCCAATCCGGGAAGTTAGGCAAAGCGGCTTAGAGGGACACAGTGGCTTAGAGGGAGTGTGCACGCTTAGGGGCGTGCACACTCTAGCACCTTTTTTAAGCTGTATATATATTTCAAGTGTAGCCATGCTTCTGTGCCTTAGTTCCCCCACTTCCAAAGTTCCCCTAGTGTTTCCCTTCCTTACAAGATGCATACATTTTTTATTGTGAGGCACTGTGATACTGAGAGGCACTGTGATACTAAGAGAAATCGAAATAAGTCACGTGATGAGAGGGAATGAAGACAAGGAGAAAAACAGGGGAATTGGGTACTGAGAGAAAGGGAGCATGCCCTAGGGTCAGTGACTGGAACAAATGTAGAGGAACAGGATGAACATCCCCTTTGTGTTAGGCAAGTCAGATACCCACTTGAGCAATAAACACAAAATACTTCTGAGAAATGTTTCTG